GCTTTATGAAATTCGATTATAAAAATACCATCTCCTTTACATAAGTCCTGTGATCGAGTGGCAGTAAATCCCTTTCCATTAAAAATAAACAACCTACCGAACAGTCGAACACGAGCACGGCTAGCAGCTATGCATCATCTCACTTTTAAGTAACTGATAATAATTTTTCGACTGAATTTTGCCTATTAAACCACTTTACATCGGAAAACTGAATATTGTTTAGGGCAGTAAGAGCGAACGTAAAATGAAGCAGACTATTGATAGTTCTCCTTTAACTGTGAAAACAAGCGTAGCATTTCCAACAATACGAAGTTTTGTGAGAATGAGATAAACAGCGACCTTTACCCACTGTGTAACTCGCGTTATCTTATTCTTCAATTTATGAGCGCGACAAGATTGAATTTACCATATACGAATTAATTGTGTTATTTCAATCTCAAAGAAACGTCTTAAGCCTATATTGATGATTGGACCAAACGATATTTTTGTCCTTGAACAATTTCTAGGTGTTTTCATACCTAATTAAGATAAACTTTCCCTCCATACGTAATTTTTTCATATATATAACCATCTGAATATTGTAATAAGAAAGAAGACCTGATAAGCAGGATTCGAAATAAATCTAACACCCAGATATATATTTTGTTTATATTACCTATCCTTGAGACTCCTCAATGAATTTAGATCAAAACTTGGTATCGGATTTGTCATCTTTTTGTTTCCATTGTATCGTCGCAGTGACTCACGAGCGCCGACAACGCATACACATATCACGCCTCGATCTGCAACCTGCTGCGCGGCGTCTTGTGAGCTATTTAACCTTGCATATTCTTACTTTATAAGCTGAGGTGTGGCGAACATTATCGTGGAATGAGCGAATGTTATGAACATCGTCGTGAAAAGAGCGTATGCCTCAAATATTATCATGAAAAGAGCGAATGTTATGAACATCGTCGTGAAAAGAGCAAATGCTTCGAATGTTATCAGGAAAATAGCGAATGCTATAAACATAGTCGTGGAAAGAACGAATGCTTCCATCTAGCATTCTACATAGGTTAACGCTACTTCTCATGAAACTGACAACTCAAGCTTGACAAGCATTATTAAAAAATGTAATTTCAGTTAGGGAGTTGAAAGCTTTAATTAAATAACCAAGTTGACGACAAGAGCTTAGGTCTCAGGCTTTCGGCTCGTTCAATTTACGAGGTTTTCTAATCCTCCCAAGTGGTTTGAATAAATACATCGTTTTTGCTCCAAGAGTTGAAGATCGATGGCTCTGATTCCAGCTCTGGGCGGCGACAGGTTATTTTAGTTGACAACAGATGCAAGCGGCCGTATTCAAAACGTGATGTATGTAATGCTGCGACTCAGCGGCAGAAATGTTCGTGATTTTGCACTGGTGTGGTAGCAGGTTTACTGGTATCTAATATATTACCTCGGCAGCAGAAACGGTCACGATATACACATTTATGCGGTAGCAGATATGCTGGAATCTTGTGTTTTACATTGGTGGCTGACTTACTTACACATTACCGTTATAGGTTTAATAGGTTATAATAAGTCAACAGAGAAATTGCCTTGCAAGTTTTCTTTTCGGAAATTACATACGTGGAAAAACTATTACGATACAAACAGTTTCTTGCTTGGTTTCTTATATAACTTATGCATTGAGCTGTAACTTTCAGAGCAACTTTTTAATTAAATCAAATACCAACACTTCAATGAGCTGCGCTTGCACAAGGAGGTCGCAAAGAATTAGAATCGAAGCTTGGTTGTGAGAAGACATCGATGCATATAAGTGGGGCACAGAATAGTTTTAAAGTTGAGTCGTTTGCGGGGGTGACACTGAAGTGAAATGTTGCAGGCGAGCAACTGGTGCGCTATTAAAGTCATCGTAAAGTCCCCGCCAGCGCGCTAAACATCACGAACGCAATAAAAGCTAAAGGAAGTTGCAATGGTCCTCGAGACTTGGTGTGCTGGCCAACGCACCGCCATTGTTGTGCTCGCGAAGCCCGCCACCGTTCGCTTTTATAGAGAGCTGCCAGGGGCGCTTAAATTATGGCTAACTGTTCTTCCAAATATTTCTCTCAACCATCGATTGCCACAGTCTTGTTCGACGCCATATTTCTTCACTGATAGCTTTCGGTGACTGAACAAACGGCTTTAGTTTCTCTGTTAATTTGTTTTATTGCTTTATGGGCGATTCATCACTCGATGTGCGCATTCTTTCTGCAGTCTGTGCGTGCATGCATGAACGGGTCAGGCGAACGAGGATTTATTCTCTTCTGTCTCCCATGAAACTTTTCATCATTAATGATTCTGCTTATTCGTGAGTTCCTTTTCGCATTTATGAGCTTGAAACGCGCAGATTAAACTCAATCAAGAAGACACGTTTATTGCAGCCTTTGTTACTGTTGAACAATTTCAGAGCAGCTTTGTAGCCTTTTGCTGCTTGTATTCAGCTTCATTGTTTTTTTTTTAAATATCCGAAGCAGAAGTTATATTCGATCTGTGAATGCAGTAATTAACAGTCGGAAAATTTTCAAGACTCGTTCTATGATGCGAGAGTCAGGAATAAATCCCAGGAGAAGCGAAGCTTGGACGTTCACTTCTGCTGGTCCACATTTGTTGGTCTCAGCAAAACTGCGAGTCTACCGAGTAACTTAACATCCGAGGATCATGTTCGTGTCTGTAATATGCATAAATAAATAAAAGTAATATGCATAAATATATAAATGACTGTAATAGGCATAAATATAATAAATAGATGAATTTGTTTACAATTAGTCAAAGGAAAAATCTATCCATCCTGAAGATGGGTCGATTCCTGGCAACGCCTGTGACGAGTAAAACTATGGACAAGTTTGTTCTTAATGAGTAAAACTGAAAATCCATTTTTAAAGTATTAGGTTCCATCGTTGATGCATGAAGATGTCGTCTCCTGAAGGCCTCGCACTTGATGCAAGGACTGATGCAATTCTGTCGCTACTGAGAGCTCGGCGTGATGTTCTTTGTGAAACCGCTAGGAATTTAGCGAGTGTAACTGCGACACTGACTGTTCTGATAAATTAAGCCTTGAAACTCAATAGGAGTGTCGGAAAGAGCGAGAACCAGCGACGTAATAATGCACTCGCGTCGCACTCACGGATCAGGCAACTTAGACAATCCAAGCCTCTGAATGGAAGAGCTAGGGTGGACCTAACAACAGCGACGGTTGTTGGACTTGCGTCAATCGATCGGAGCAGTAGCATGGAATAAATCGCAAATGATTCATGTAGTTGTTATTACCGAAGAGTTATTCAAAATTAATCTTGGTCACTAAACTGTGAAGTCAAAGTTGGTGCGACCACACATCTGAAGTAACAGTATGAATGTCTGATCTTATTTGCAATCAATATTTGCGCCGGCATTTAGCATTAGTTCGTTTCAACCTAAAAAAATCGCCTGAGAAGCTTCAAATTTTTGTGATATGAGTACATTGAAGAAGGTGAAATGGCAAAACCCTTTGAAGTTCGCGTTAAGAGCGAATGAGAAAAAGTAGAGAAGTGATAAATAATAATCTACGTTTTTCAACGATTGAAGTTGATACGGATTTGAACGTGTCTAAAGTTCTGCAGTGTACGACAAGCAGCTTATTGCTTCCCACGTACAGAGGCGTTAGGGATAGAACTTTCTTTTAGCTTGGGTTAAACCGTGTTCAATTAATTAATAACATGTAAAAGAATATTAGGTATGTATCTTCCTGAATCTATCCTCATTACGCAAATATAATTTAACAACCTCCACAATGAACAGTTTTCTCAGTAGCTATAAAATTGTACACAGTTAATCAAAACTTCAAGTACTACATGAGGCAACTAGCCCGATAATTAGTGACGGTTATCACTAGTCACAGAAAATGACTGCCACATTTAGCCCCGTGTGAAAAGATCTGGATAACCCGACTAAAAGCTTAAGCCCTCGGCCACGTAAGGTAACCGAATATTAGACAATCATTGTAGCAGTTGAATTGCAACGGACCAATACTGTATTCCAGAACATTGGATTCTATTTGGCTTTCTCGAAACAGATAAGCATTCAGAATTGTTTTCATCACTTATAAATGTAATTATTTTCAATTTAGCGACGAAATTAAAAGTAATGAATGGATTTAAACATGAAAATACTTCTGTAGTTAATCTATAGGAATACACATGTATATTTATACTGACAACCAAAAAGATAACTTGTTAAAATTGTCTTGTTTGGGGGCTTATGTGCACAGGCCGTACGAGACGTTAATTTTCGTTGTTAACTGAACAAATTTTAGACGTTTTTTTTGGAAGGCAACAGTTCATTTTTATTAAGAAAAAGAGAGAACTGTAATCAAATTCGTATAAAAGGCGACGATTGTTGATTGTTTCCTAATATTTATTCAAGGAAGTCTTACTCCGAACATTTTCAGCGAACTTTCACTCACACGCTAGCGAGCGTTTTGAAGTGGAACCCCTGCTCGTAATGCCAATGTACTTCTCCTTTTAGTTGTGGTTAACCCTACTAAGACTAGTATTTTATTATGCTACAGGTTGAAGCCTATACGCTGCGGAACCAGCTCTGGTTTGCGCGATTTACCGTGGGATGTTTATATAATATTATATTGGCAAAATTTGCGGTAAATTGCTGCGCATTTGTGTGCGGTAAAATGTTATTTGAAGTTACCTTAGAGCTTAATTATTTTGAATTTTTGCCTCCGCAAACGGTGAAAGACTCGTGTTGAAGTTTTCGAATTTTAGAGCAGGCTACTATCCAATTAACCAAAACTAACAAGTTTCAAAAAGCAAGATATTATCCTTCTGAAGAATGTCAGTTTTCCGAGGTTAATTTGTTTTCTTGTCGAATTTCAAATTGTATTTAAACATTCCATGTAAAAAATCACAATAATTAGCGAGAAAACGCTTTTTTCTAGCGTTTTTCCTCTATTGGGCGAGGATCATTCCTTTAGTTTATGGTAACAGATGAGAACAATCCGACGTAAATAACCTTTAGCTTGTAAACAAAATGCAGACAGTGAGCACACTTGCTGACTTAGCTCGTTAAAAGGGTAAGCTGTATTGTTCAATGTAGAACTTATAACAGTTCATGTTTCGTAAGAATTTTTTTTTGCTCTGGTTACCTTGGCCACGACTTACAAATGCAAATGTTACGTACTCCAATCCAATGAGATTTGAGCCCGTGGCTGTCTCCGCAGGCTCTGTGAAATTGTGTCATCTTCATGTGAAATTGTGATTTGTGAATCATGTCCAATTTGGCCATGATCTTGCTAGTTAACTTATTTTAACTATGCTATTGTCCTACTCTGAAACTGCTAATTGTTGAGAGTGATTCCACTTCTCCTTAATTTCCTAGAGACTGACTAAAATATCAGGCAAATGAGGCAACAACTGTAAATTCACGCATTTTATTAGAGTAGTTTAAAACGGATATGGCCAATAGCTAGCACCAGCTAAGTTGCTAACTAGAAGAAAGCATTAACTATAGCATGCTTGCAACTGAACTTGGCAAGCTAGTTAGTAGTTACTAGTTGCTAATTAGATTGGAATTTTCATACTTATAAATAAAATCTTGCTACTCCAAACCCAGGGTACAGAATTTGCAAGCTGCATCACTAACTTGACACCAAGATATAGGTTTTTAGCCCAAAACGTCACCAGCCATTTTCAAGATGCGTTGCCAGGTAATTTTTTATAAGAAAATGTTGCTAACATTGATGGTATATCCCTTACGGCTTACCGTAAAATGGGGTAACTTAGACCACTTTTATTTTTATAAATGATGCCATTTTTTTTACTAGCTAAATTAAACTTGAATTGAAACATGCAAAATACAGGTCTATACTCTAGCTTCACTCACCATAAATTGCTGGCTCCTGCCTCTCATAGTCTTTATGCAATTTCAAAAAAAGTGGTGGTCTTTGTTACCCCAGCTCTTGGGGTAACTTATCCCCGCCGGTCTAAGTTACCCCATTTTACGGTACTCTTTATGCTGCCACCCACGCCACCGCTACACTTACACTCATCACAACTGATTTCCAGACAAGCTTCACTGAATATTGATCCATCCAATGTACTGGAAACCTTACTGTGTGCACTTGTGGTCTTTCAGATTTTCAACTATTATCTAAAAAGTTGGCCAAAGACTGGCAAATATCTAAAATGCAATAATTTCAATCCAAATGTGTCGGCAAGATCTTCTGAAGGCATAAATTTTGCTGCTGAAGCATCACCAAAGATGATAAGATCTCAAGATCTATACCCACTTTCTTGACCCTGGCTCCAAACTAATCAATTTCAATAAATTTGAAATTTCCCAGCCCAGTGTGCAACTTTTTATGTTGTTATTGTGATTTGTGTCAAGTCCTGCATCTTTCCCGTTAAGGGGATAACAAAAATTGCAAGCAGCGTCTCCTAGATATGGATTTTTAGCCCTAAGCGTCACCAGCCATTTCAAGATGCATCGCTGGGTAATTTTTAATTAAAAAATGCTGCTTACAACTTTGATAATATACCTATGTCTTACTCTCCATGCACTGCAACACTTACTCATTGCAACAGGGTGACAATCTAATTTTTTCTCTAGCTCGTGTTTAGACCCCATTCATAAAAAAATTGTGCGCTCATATTCTTCTTCTTTTACTTTCCTGGGGCCTAAAATAATAGTTTTTTTTGTTTACAAATGAATAACAGTTCATAACTTCATGTTTACCTTTTTATTTGATAATCTATTATCACACAAATACCAAAAAGTGTAATGCAATAACAAGCTTCACTGCACTAAGTGTGGAATTCTAGAGTGATAATAAATTAACCAGTACACATAGCATATTGGGAAGCAGCACCTGAAAGCTTGGAAAGGCCATGAACCTTCCACTTTTAGTCAATTATATACTGTACATATCCTATTGCTTTCCAGCTGTGATTGGATGATTGAATTGTGATTTTAGCCCCTTTCAGCTTTCCAGCTGTGATTGGTTAATGGGGATCCTTTCCAGCTGTGATACCTACGTTGTGCCCTTGAGTCCCACCCCCAAATATGGTATATGTACTACAGTACTGGTGAACTTGATACTTAACTCAAACTTGATCATTATAAATAAAGAGAAAAATTTTAAACAAATACAGGTTGCAAATAAAGAGGAAAAAAGAAAAATGTAAAATATCAATCACACAAGAGACATCCAAACAATTCTATAACAAATCTGAGGTACTATACAATTGAAACAGTTTGTCCACTTTTGATCCTCCTTTTCTTGCCAAGAATACCAGATTGTCTAGCTCAAAATAACAGCAAAATACCAGAAAATTTATTCATCAGAAAATGGATTAATACCTCTAAATTTGATTAAATTAATCAGTAACATTGGATAGAAAAAAGAAAAATAATTTTTCATACTTTTTTGCACAGATTTCTGGCTTGATGTATAATTAGCAAAATTAAACGCATTATATTTCAGGTCAAATATATGCGTGGTACGGTATATAATTTTGCATGGCATTGATTTTTTGGGATTCATTGAACAATTGAATGTTGGATAAGTTGGGAGAAGGAAAATAAGAAACATAAAATAGGGAAAGGAATATTTGTTTTCATGGCTTATATTTAGAATTAAATTCAAACCCTCGAAATAATGTTCTATTCCAACTTGTCATTGTTATAAGAAATAATGTTGTCCACTTGCTAAAAATTACCTAGCACATAAAAACCTGCTAGAAATTAGCACATAGCCAGAAGTTGAAATCGAAGTGGACAAAAAATTTCTAACAATACTTTCAGGAGCGTATTGTTTAGCAATAGATTTGTTTTAAATTTTTTCAAGACTGCTTTTATTATGCGTGGTAGGCCTGCCATGAAAAAATTCATTTCAAGAGTGTCCAAGCTGTAAACCAAAACCAACAACTAAATAGCAAAGTGTCAGGGTGCATCTGCTCTGACTTTGGCACTATGCATCACAACTGATTTCCAGACAAGCGTCACTGCATCTTGATCCATCCAATGTACCGGAAACCTTACTGTGTGAGCGTTCAGTCTCGCAGATTTGCAATAATTGCAATAATTTCAAAGTAATTTTTAAAAGTCAATAATTTCAATTCGAATATGTTGGCAAGATTTTTTGAAGGTGTAAATTTTGCTGCTGATGCGTTGCTAATATCTTTTGATATTCACCCACTTTCTGCACCCTGTTTCCCAGCCAGTCAGCCAGCCTAGTTGTTTAATTTTATTCCTTATGATTGATGAGATTGTTGACAATTCATTCAGTGCAAATCTTGCGGCTCTAAAAATGGCTGAAAAGCACTAGTTCTTGCTTGAATGTTATATGTATTTTACACCAGGTAGCTACAAGCCCATTTTCACAAGCCCATTTTCACAAGCTTATTTTCACAAGCTGCCCCAACCTTGAGAAACCATACCATCAACATCAATAATGCATGATTCACCACCCACTGCCACCCAAATTGATGAATTGGGTAGAAACCACTTGTAAATGAGATAAAATGCCTGTGTTTGTAGACAAATTTAATCATTTGGGCCATTTCAATGGCCATTGCTAAATTTCTCTTATAATAATTCTGCAAAATCATGTTCAAATTATTTCTTTTGCTGCTGTTTTAAAACTTTAATTCAATAATCAAAAGTGAGTTTGGTAAACTATTGTAAATCAAGAAGCCATTTAATCTTGCCAATAGAGTAGTTCCAATTTGAAATATCAGGCAGAAATTTCCTAAAATTATGTATAAAAATGATTGTTTTGTGGGCAATTATTGAAAATTGCAGGTATATAAGTTGACCATTTATACATGTTTTCCTGAAATAAAAAATGTACATCCTTTCTGTTGAAAGACAATGCATTTATTTTCATAATGGTTTGTATGCAATACAAAATATTTTCTTGTGCAAGTTGTGTTTTGTTGTTAAATTCAGATGTTAATATAAGTAGACTAATAAGATGTTAAATTTTATTGCATTAAAAATAAATATCAGTTGATTGGAAATGGAAGACATCATGTTTGCAGATGCTACTAATTCATTAGTGGCATGAATGTACTAAGAAGAGACCATAAGCTTCTAACAGCTTGGCCTCAGTCTCACCATATATATATATATTCTTTTTCCTATTGAGCAATCTAACAGCTACACACTTGGAAATACAATTACCAACTTCAGATGAAAATGTTCCTAAATTACCATCTTGAAAATAGTATATAAATGATAAATAAAAATTATTGTTTCAGGTCACGTGTCCACCATGGCAAGTTCAACAATTGCAGCTTGCAAGTGCTCTACCAACTGATCCAAATTTTTACCCTAAAAATTGTGAACCAGTGAAGTCATTCACTATCACTTGCTGACAAAAGAAGAGTTTAGCCAACCTAAAACCATGAAGTTACCAACAATTGCTGCAATAAGTTTGAGCTTTGGCTGTTTATTGGGGCTTCCCATGCAGGCAAAAAGTGAGTTCTGACCTTGGAAAAAATTCGGTTTTTCAAATTTTGTTTCTCATTTTTTTTTATTTTTTCTCTGCAATTTTATTTAGCAAATTAGAGCACTGTTAGAAGTTTCTTAGCCTCACTCACTTAATTGATTGTACCCACTGCTACCTGAGCATAAATCCTATAATTAAAACATAATATTTATGAAGCAAGAATTGTGTGTGCATGTTTTTGGCCCCTATTCTCTATCCATAATTTTCTGAAAAAATAATAATGACAGAGCTAGAATTAGAATAGAATTAGAATTAGAATAGAATAGAGATGAATAGAGAATAGAATTATGATGAGGATGCCACATCAGTTAGTGTTTTCATCAATGAACTTATTAAAAATTGATGAGCTTTTCTTTTGTGGTTGTTGCTTTTTCATGTTATACCATTTGAACTTTTGATAATACTGATGCTTCTACACTGTTTAAGGTGATGGTGTGCTGGCAGCAGATGCACCTGACTTGAAGCACTGCTCAGATGTCAGTGGGTTGATAGTTCAGCCAGGCATGAGCTACACTCCTGGTCCTGACTACTGCACTGTATGCAAGTGTGAAGATGGCAGTCCTAAATTTTGCCGAGCTGTTCTTTGCCAACCTCGTCCTGTAAGTCTACTGATTTTCAATTGTATCAAGCTTATATCATTCACAATAATTGCTTTGAATATAAATTGGAGATGCAGATTTTATACATTTCTAGCTTTATTTTTCTTGCTTAGGTACTACTTTGTTTAAAGACTAAATTGTTCATATGGGTCATAATGAGCCCATATATTGCACAAGGTTCAGTTTTTGCATAGGTGCAGGATCTTTTATTTCTAACAGCTATTTCTAATCACACATGTATAATCTCTTATTTATACAGGACTGTACTTCCTTCCGAGTTGGCACAACTTGCTGCGACTTCATCTGCCTGGACGACATGCTGCCAAACCGACCTGGTCTCAACCCTATAGGCAGACTTCCTGATGGCACTCATTATCCTTCCGGAGGAAATGGCATCATCCCGCACATACATGAGAATGGCGAGAACAGTCTGGGCATGAGACTTGCCGCAGCTATTCTTACGGCACTCATGGCGTTTGTGCTTCTGCTTTTCTTGGTTCATAGGCTCAGGCAACGTCGCATTACAGGTATATTATATCTTCTCAATACATTAAAATGAGTCATTTATGTGTTGCTTGTCTATGTAATTATTGATGTTTTGTAAGTTTTCTGATACATTGTTCTTTTGATATTTACGCTGCAATTATCAGCAAGCATTGCAATTGAATGCATATACTTGCTACAAGGTGTTAACAATTTTTAACTGATGACAAAAAAGTGGTGCTAAAACTGTTATAAAAAGTATTTTCAGTTTTTCTACCTGTTTTTAGCGCATTTTCTCATTTATGGAAAAAATGCACTAATGTGCTCGCCATGTCCGTCCGTCCGTCCGTCTGTCCGTCCGTCCGTGACCTCAAGTTTTCGTCGACGAGAAAATGCGCTCTCTGTCACTCACTGCTGTGAGTACTGAGTTATATTTTTTTTTGTCACAGCTCAGCAATACGTGAATGCTCAAGATGTTGCCTGCTGTCACCCTGCTGCCTACTGGCACAACAACGATCAGGCTCATCTGTTCCTTCAGTCACCACACTGGAAACCTCCCTCCTGTATTATTGACGCGCCTCCTCCATATACTGAGGCAGATGCACAGCGAGCTGCCAGATCTGCTGCTTTTGCACCTGGGTTAGCTAACTTAAGGATTCTTGTTAGTTGCATGAGATTTCCTTACATTATAAATTTATGCCAATTTGTATGCATCATTTGACGACATCAAAAGCTGAAATTTGTTTTGTGTTTTATTATCAAGGTTTGCATTATAGGACGCAAGTGAGCTTTAGTTCTTGTTATGGCAGTTCTGAATGCAAATATTTTTTTTTCTTGTTTTATTATCAGCATTTGCATTCATAGGACGCAAGTAAGCTGTGGTTCCTGTTATGTCTATTTTACAAGTAAGTGCTGTGTTTCACAGGGCTCTATCATCGGTGCCTTCGTCAGCCCCTCCTTCATACTCTGGTCCAGCTCCTCCAAATCTTCAACTGCTCAACGATAACCGTGCTGTAAACCCTGTAAGTTCTGCCACTGCGTTTTCTGTGAACTCTTTGAACCGTCGGGTCGACGCAGTGTCTCGAGACTCGCCCTCAGCCCTTGCTACGCGTCGAGACTCAGAGGGCGGCGCGGGAGGGAGCGGTTTACCTCCTGCCAGTCTGGGGCCTCTGGCCGTGCAACTTCTTCCTGCCGCCGCCAATTCTGCCGAGCTCAGGTATGTGTAACTTCGTTCTGGCCAGGTTTGCTTTATATGATAATTATTTGACAAGACTGATTTTAAAATATATACATGGTGTGTAATGTAATTCAGAATCAGTTTGAGTACATCAGGATTGACGAATGAATAAGATTTTTTTCTAGTATTACGGTTTCGATGCTTATTTATAATTAGTAGAATATGTAATCATGGCCTCATAACATTTAGGAAATGTATTAATTAAAATTGGTTATCATTTTTTTGGCTCTGTGGTAATTGAGAGTTATCTTTTAATCAAACTATGTTTTATTTACCATGAAATATTTTCCATATTAACATTCATCTAATTTACAGGGAACAAATTCAAAGACAACGTCGAAACCTCACTGATCACAGCACCAGATCTCTGCCTCGACACCACAAACCTCCGGACGCTGGAGGAGTTCAGCTGTCAGTGGCACCTGATCATTCAGGGAGCAAAGGTGTCCGCACTACGCTTACTCGACCATCCACAGAGAATGATCAGGTCATTCAAAACTCCAAGTCAACAGTGTTAAATACTGAGAACCTTACCTTGCCCCGTAGTTCCGTCGCGTGCGGCGTTGTGGCGACTATTGACAACCAGAGTATTACGGGAGAAGTGGTTGAGGTAGATTTGGTTCGTGGTAGTGCATCGAATCAAGACGAAGGATTGGATTTGTCTTCAGCCAATTCTAATATTGGCAATGAAGAACATGCGGATGAAGATGAGAATGAACAAAATAAATTGAGCGTCCGGTGAGTATTATTACCTTTTCAACAGTCATGATGACTATATAAGCTTGTTTTTATCACTTGTTATCGTTGGTTAATGAGATTGTTAATTTCACGGACCATTATTAGAATATCTCTAAAGTTAGTTAACGTTCATTACAACACTTCTCTTTAACTTCACTTCTTGTTTGTCTGTCTGCTACATATCTTATAATCGAAATTCAACACACTTATACTTATCCTATGATTTGAAATTTTGCACACTTGCGTAAAGTTGGAGGCAATGCATGAATCAAACAAAATAAATTATTAATTTTTTTTTTCAATATTAAAAAAATTAAAAAAAAATAATTTTGTCAGCTACAAATCTTATAACTGATGTTTGACACACTTTTACCTGTCCAATGATCTGAAATTTGGCACACTTGTGTGAAGTCGGAGGCAATGCTTTATTCAATTGACAGAATAAATAATTTTGAGAAAAAAAATTGTATATACCGTCAACTGAGGTGACTTCGGCCGCCGGGGTGACTTCGGCCGCGTTTTTTATTTTGTTTTGCAAACAAAAACGGGGTCGGAAATGCCGGAGTGGCTTTGGCCATCGTTTATGACCCCGCTTTTGTTTGCAAAACAAAATCAAAAACGCGGTCGAAGTCACCCGGCGGCCGAAGTCACCCCAGTTAACGGTATAAAAAAAATTGAATGTAATAATTTTTTTAATATTCGATGTTAAAATGAAAAATTCATTGTACATCTTTAACATTGTAGACACTGGATTCTTTAGAAGTGTTGTCTTTAGTAACTTCTAAACGTACCTATATTATTTTTTCTGATTCACAGAAAGTCTGTCCTGAAGTTTGAAGCCGCAACTGCCGCCCGGGAGACACCAGACTCCAGCTGCGTTAGGAGCTCGTCTCCTGCCGCCCCTCCTTCACCTTCCCGCGCCGCAGCTTCTTCGTTTGCTCCGCGGGATGCTCCTCAAAAATGTTCTCCCTGTAGCATGCGGGGCAACGTCACAAACAAGCCTATTTTGGCACGATGCCATCAGGCTGAGTCTAAGCAAAATAATCACAAATATCCCCCGTGTTCACCATCCTCAGTTCAACACGAATCGTTCACGTTCCTCGGTGGTCCACATCAGCCAACATTTAACGCAGCTGGCGATGTTAATCCTGCGGATGTTTCGTTTTCTGATAATTCCTTTGATGGTTATGACTGCGATCACGCGGAAGCACCTCGACTGTATCCATGCTACAGCGGGTTACACGTGTGCTCGCGTCAGCCTTTGCTGCCACAAGACCAACTCCCTGCATCTCCTGATGTGCTAGGCAAGCTGTCTCGTCGCAGGCGGAATTCCGTTGACCGAAACGGTGCCGCGTGCGAAGAAAGAGTTTTCTCATCTTCTAATGGCAACGGTTCAGTAACAATCCATTACACAACCCAGCCCAACTTTAACAAGAGTAAGAATCAACTCCATGAACTGCACGTGGATGGAGTTTCGGATTCGGAAGTGACTTTCAGAGCCGAGCAGATTGACCGTCACGGCGCTGATTGTGATCAACATGGTGAACCCTCTGAGCGCAAAAGCGCTACCGTTCGTGCCGTCGGTGACAGCAAATCAGTGACCGTCAACTGCGCTAGTGGTGCTAGAAATAAAATGTAAGGCTGATACTTCTAATATGATTGAAACAACGGCTAATATTGTGTCGAATGGCGTAAAATATCTTTAGGTATTTATAGCTACTAAGCTTGTAAAGAATACGTAATGTAATTATGAACGGCGGATAGGTGAGGGAAATGAATTATATACATATAGAAAGGATAGCTGTATAGTCAATGAAAAGTCTGTTCCATAACATTCACTTAAGCCTCGTAGTATAGTATTAAAAATTTTTTAAAAGAAGTGAGCACTGAAGCTATTTAAAATGAATAAAAAGAGCAGCTATTTAAAATAAACAATCACTCGCCTCTTCGTGCGCTTTTAAAGAAACCGTAGTCATGAAATTGGGGGACTAGCTGCCCTTGTCAACCTCGGGGATGTTTTATTTTCTTCCCTTCGAGTCATGAAGTTTACAACCAATTTCCGTTCCTAATTTAACTCTTGACTCTCATTTAGAGAGGCAAGTCTGCTAGGTACCGTACGTCAATTTTAAGCTGATGTTCTCGGAGCAGCTTTAAATTCTGTATGAATGCAAACACAAAAAAAAAATCTCTCATAGCAGCTATTTGTACAGTGGGGAAATTTACTAATGCACTAATGCCCAAGTGCTGTAAGTTAATATGTATTTTAATTAATATAATGTATTAGAACACTTTGAAGTTCCTTGATGTAGTATTGTGTACTGTCTTCAAAATCGCACTGATAAACTAATCTTAATCATCATTCCAACGCATCGCTGCTAATAAGTGTCCGCGCTCTCCATGTCTTGACTTTTCAAACCATGTACGTAACTCATTCAATTTGTAGCTTTTGGGCCCGTAGGGAATTTTACCTCCGACTTGATTGTATACTTGGCATTGCTTGTGTGTGCGTGTCAAATTTCGGCCCGAATTATGATTAGAGTCTAAATTACTGAGAATTACGGTTCCTTTCGTTACTGCTCGATGCTTTAAAAGTGAACATGACCGTTGTTTTTTTTTTAATTCCAAGTAAAGCGAAAAATATAAATGTTAGTAGATCATCACAAATTTCCGTGCTATTTTTTAGATGTTCTGCCAGTAGTGACCGGAGTTGAGGCTAGGCCACAAGTTTTCTGGTGATTTGTGAAGAAGAAATGTTTGATTTTACGTGGATTAATTTTATTCTTTGCCTCATAGCAAAATATTTGTGTATTTATCTGTCCATATTTTTAGGGTCTTAGGGCTAGTGCAACTTGTAGTTTTAAGTGAACTCACTCGTGATAACGACAGCGTCATTTTGTTTTGTGCGCGACATGTTCCGTGGTCGAAAAAAACCTTCAAGTTAATTTTACCCTATCTTTGTTTACCATAAGCCCAATGTAAAGTATACTGTCCGATAAACTTTCCTTCAAAAATTATATCAATGGAAACATTTCGTTAATTATTTACTAAAGCATTTGATTCTCGAATCAACAGTGCTTTTGCTGCACTTATTAATTATTATTATTCACTAGGGTTGGAATTATGCTAGAGAATAACTGTACCAATTTTGCTTAAATTCACATTTTGTTGAGAATTTGTATCTGATGTCTAAAATAATGACTAGTTATCTTTAAATTGATTCTAATTGCGGCTCATTTGTTAATTTTCTATTGATAATTTTGTGTAATAGCCCACTTGTTGAATAACTCCTGGAACACATCTCTATTTACTGCTAGATATTTCACGCATTTCCGCTAGCTCACGCGTCTATTTACTTTATTCAAGTCTATATTACTTCACGCGCATTTTTTGCCCAGTTCACTCACCTAGTCAAGTGTTTCAAGTTTTGTGTAATTAACTGACATTTATTTCAAATTATTTTTATCTATAATATTATATCACGTCACACAGTGGATCTTACTTCTTGATTTCAAATCTACCTCAGACAATGAATAAGCTTTAATGTGTTTGTTGTTTCGATTATTTATACATTGAAATGGTTTATTGAATCTTTGAACAAGATAATCTCAGTCGTCAGTTAATTTGGATTAAATGTATTGGTGATGGAATTCATCATTTATGTTTTCTCAATTTTGAAAAAGGTGAAAAAATATCCATGTTTCCACTCCTGATAATTTCTGATATGCGTTTCGCTGCCTCTAATTTGAATTATTCTATGTATTCTGGTGAAAATAATTGTTCTGCACGTAATCTTATGGAAAATAATTTTGATCTATTATAGTTTAGTGTTGTGTTCATGTCTCGAGTCCGTATAATGTATTAGTTTAAAAAAAACATGGGAATCTTTAAACAAAATTTAACTATGATAACCCAACTTCCAATACCTCAGGACTAGAAAAAAATGCTTCTCTCAAATCTCAATGCTTCCTCGTTTGTGTGCCAAAAATGACTGGAATCATTTAATCGATAACTTTTGATCACTCCCTCTGACATTGTACGATTTTCAAACTTTTGTCATGGGTTCTTTGTGCGAGATGTATGATTTTCTTGACATATGGAAGGGATAAACTGCTGTGCATATTATGACTTCCTAAGTATTATACTATCAAATTTCTTTCAGTTGAATTATAACTGTACGTTATTACCCAGTTTGATGATTACCCTGCTGTTATTATTTTTGTTATTGAGCGTCTAAGAACACCGTGTTCAACAAATAATCCTAGTGCGTCTATTTGCGAACCGGTAATATAATACTATGTGTCTATGCAGACCACTAAATGTCTTCGTAGATTATGAAGATACTCTTTTATTGATCGATTATTTTCTTGGACGTGTGGATGCTTGAAGTTACGGATAAGTTCATAGGGAGCAGCGTTACTAGGCGGTTGATTGTTTCTGACAATTGATTATAGTGAAGCTATCACCGATAATGGAATTCTCTGAAGACATTACAAGGAATAGGGAAATTTTCAGAACTGCGAGTCACGATGTATGAAGATCATAGCGGAGCAATGTGACCTCTAATTTTTTAAAAGACATCATCGCTGGAAAAATGAAAATGCATTAAGGTTCTGTTATACTTTATTTGGATTTGAACCATAAGCTGAATTGCCAACAGTCGAAAAGGTCCGCAGAACGAGAGAAACTAGAAAGTCCGAAACTTCGGTACTTAACCTCACACTGGAACAACAATCGCAATGAGCAATGATTTTAGCTTCTAATTGACTGAAACTTTGATTTAAAAAGTTCAGAATCTGTATTAAATATTTTCGACATAATTTACTGGAAAATGGAAGCGTAATTCCATACTATTCTTAAGCCGGCGTTAGCACCCATGTAAAAAGCGTTTATAGCGTTTAGATGAGCGAAGGTTTTCGTGCGCTTTCGGCTTCGAACGCTCACTAGGATTAAAGTGCGCCAGATTGCTAACTTAGGTTAGGTTTTCTCGCAACCATCGGTGCTTCACATCCACGTATAGGCTCACGTCTTGCATTGCTCCAAGTCGTTGTCACAGAGGGATTGTAAACTTCAAAGTAAAGATTAAGTGAGTACGTCTTAACTTACGATGATTTTTTTTAGAAAAGGGGATCAATCCCCTTTTCAAGCTCAACTCCCCCTTTTCGAGCTCAACCACTCAATCCCTCGGTAGTGGTTGACTTGTTTTGTCGCTTGTAAGTCAATTTTCATAATTCGATCTTACATTTAAACAAAATTTTTCAAAAAATGTTAAGAGTTCTGCGAAGTTAAGAATCGGCGACAGGCCTACGGCCTAATAAACGCTGAAACCGCTATTATTATTATTAATACCAATCGTTGACGAAAAAACACTTATTCTCGAAAGAATTTCTAATTGGTGAAGTATTTTCTAGCAAGCAGTCAAGATGCTTCGGAATTTCAATTTCTCATATGAACGAGTAGTAATCTTTTAAGCTGTACTGTGAAAACCGACTGCATACAGTAACGTGTCCGGGCGATAAGCGTATCGTGCATTTAGAGAAAACTTCGCATCTACATAAAGGTAAATAACAATATATAAAGAAATGCGACATTAACACTAATAAGAGAATATAGGAGTCATTTACGATTCTAAGACCAAAACTGAAGGATATTTTTACTGTATGAAACAATGCCAATTGCAATTTGTAATCTATGCAGCATTTCGTGGCAAATATTGAGCATAGAAATTGAATTTGTTCTTCAACCCTCTATCACCTGACATGAGTAACCGGAGCAATATTGTCACTAGCCTACTTGCCAAAAAGAATACGTTCTAGTGAGCGCAAAATGACTTGCACTGATGGTTGCCGACACGTACGACAACTCTAAAATGTTCTCTGTTACGTACAAACGTCCTCAGGTTGTTACACTCAATAGTTTAAATATAGTTTAAGTTGAAAGTTATGTTCCCAGAGAGTGACATACGGCGGTAGAGGGTTAAAATGTTCTCTGTTGCGCCCAAACGTCTTTAGGTTGTTGCACTCAATAGTTTATGTGTAGTTTAAGTTGAAAGTTATGTTCCCAGAGAGTAACATACGGCGGTAGAGGGTTAAGCCCTTGAAGAAACGGTTAAAATCTTAAGTCTAGCAGATGAATCTGTTCAAATTCTAGTAAATAAAAGTTTATTTTTCTTAATGTTGAAATATTACCGTAACAACAATTACCCGATTGCTGTTTGTATTGCTTACACTCTGATTTTAACCAGCGATCCCTTCAACTCCGAAGGATTGGTGGCTTGCATGTAGATAGAAAAGCTACCACTAAATATGTTCATTTAAATCTCATAGGTGACTAACTCTTATTTACAGCTATTACTTTAAACTTCTAAAATTGCGAAACGTTGAAAATAATTTCGAATTTGCAGGAATCGAAAATTCTATTGTCACAGAAAAATCGACCAAATGAAGATTAAAATGATCATTGAATTTATTTCTATAAATGGTCACTTTAACGGTTAGCCAAACTACTCCACAGAATTAACTAAGTCTATAAAGATTTAATTAACAGCAATATATTTAATCTGATGCGAAAGAATCCCTGCACAAGTTGCGAGAAATCGAGAGAAAGATTTAGAGTTGAGCCACGATTTCTGCCAACAAACTAACATTAACATCACTTAATTAGACCACGCACTGAAACGTACAATAATAAAGGTTCATTTAAAAGTGAACAGTTATTAATACTAAGTAATATACACGCGTACAAACGGCAGCGTAACACCGTCAAATAATGCAAATAACAGGCAATACAAACTATTTAACGCAAGCATTTAGCACACGAGTAACTATTTCTCTGCAGTCCAGCGACGATAATTTCAGTATTTCAAAGTGAGTATTGTTTTATTTTTCCTTTCCAAATAAAATTTCTATTTAGTGTTTATTTCACACATTAGCGGTTGCTATCTACAGCGAAGTGCTTGCGGATAGATAAAAATGTACTCAAATGGATGGGTGAGGGAATAACAGTTAAGCTAATAAACTTGAACGTGTTCTCGGGCCAGTTTCATTCGTTGCGTTCATAAGCGATATGACAGCAGCGGCATCTATAGCCTGTGCTCCATAGCCTGTGCTCTGTACACACTTTATTATACAGTGAAGGCGTCGTAATGGATTCAATGGAACATACAAATGTACAGTAATGGATTCAAGAAATGTACATATGAACTTGAAAAGATAGCGGCGAGAGGATCTGACAGTTTCGTTCACAGGGCTATTACTGAGCAGCTGCGTTTTACGGTGAGAAGTGTACAACTGTACTATGCCCAAGTTTGTTTATAATTTGGAACTGGAAGCTTACGATACGAAAAGAAATTGCAGCAAATTTAGATTTATGCTTGAAAATTGACAGAGGAAAAATATTTGAGAAATCCTGTTGGTAAGGACTCGAAGAAACATTATATTCAAACTTAAGTTAATAAAACCAGTAAAAAAATTACTTACTACTTAGATGCAATTCGTGAGTGTTCAGACGCGTGCAACAAGGATTATTTTGGTTTTAAAGAGGAAGCCTTGGGAATAAAGTTTTGAGAGTATAAAGCGTCCATAACTAAGTTTTCGGAGTGACCTTTTGGGAGTATACAAGTATATTTATGGTTTATACAAGATTTCATTAGGACTACTAGAATGTGGCACGCACACAAACTCTAGAGGCCACATTTATATTATATTAATCTTCATAACATATCTAAATAGCAGTTTTTAACCTAGGAACAGGCTTCGAACCTTGCCAGAATCAGCAACAGGCCAGATTGCTTATCCTCAACTCAGATACTGCTATATAATATTTGTATGGTTTGGCAGAAGTTGTTCTTAAATGCAAGTTTCATTGGAAACAAGTCAGATACGATATTGATTCTTCAACTAAATACACTATACAATACTATTCCTGCCGGTAGATTTTCCGGATTCTATCGTGATTCAAAATACAGTCATAAGTAAAACGGACCTTATTTGGCGGTCAGTTGTTAAGGTATTTCAAACAAAAACGTAAACCAATTTCTTACCATTAAAATAAATCTCTAAATACTTCATCCAGTGAGCATGAAACTCTTGTTCTGGAAGATAGGAGTACGAGTGTCTGTTTTTATATGCTCGTCGAGATGTGTCAGTGCTATTAGAAATATGATTTCAAATTCACTTTTCTTAGTAATACGAGTTCTACATTTATACGTTCCTCGAGTTGTGCCAATAGCTTTAGAAATATGATTTAAAATTCGCTTTTCATAGGAATATGAGTATCTATATTTATACGTTCCTCGAGATGTGCAATAGCATTAGAAATATGATTTAAAATTCGCTTTTCTTAGTAATACGAGTTCTACATTTATACGTTCCTCGAGATGTTCCTATAGCATTAGAAATATGATTTAAAATTCGCTTTTAATAGGAATACGAGTATCTATATTTATACGTTCCTCGAGATGTGCCTATATTTGGATTAAAAATATGTTTTATATTCGCTTATAAAGCGAAGGGTGAAGGAAGACTTGCGTGCGTTAGAAGAAGTAAAGGAAGTATCACTTAAATCAAACGATTATTTACAGCAAATATCAAGAAACTTTACGTGCAAATAGGGCGAAAATGAACTCATATGCTTATACTTGAATTTCTTCATAAAGATAAGCTAGTATATTTTAATAATATTCATATAATCTAGGATGCTAACATTGACACATGCTAAATGCAATTTAAGGAACGGTCACGAAAAATGTTGCACGTTAAAGAACTACATGGCATTTTTAAAGAACAGTATATTATTAAAATTAATAGAAAAGCAGTGAACTCATTTTTTAGGCCGCACTGAGTGTTGTTTGTAACGAGATATAAAAATGAATTGATGAATGGCATCAATTTGAAAAATTAGAAGGATGAGTACTAGATACGCTAGAAAAATATGGCAGATATGCAACAAAAGAAATATTAGGCAATGATAGGAGGTACGATGCTTTGGAAAACCTTATTGACTAACAAAGCAGCTTCGAGAGTTGACCGCTAAACTTGATGTTTTTTGCCTGAAAAAAGATGCAATGAAATAATATATTCACAGAAAAGATACTCGTACAAAAGAACAAATAAATATCATTAAGAAATGTGATTTATGAGACCGATTTCAGGCAAGCTCTAATCGATGGGAGTTAGTGCCTGAAAAAAAATATACAGTGATTCATAAGATACAAGAGAACAAATAAATATTATTAAGGAGCGTGATTGACGAGACCGATTTCAGACAAGCTCTAATCGATTGAAGTTAGTGCTTGAAAAAAGATACAGTGATATAATATATTCCTTCAAAAGATACGAAAGAAGGAATTAATATTATTAAGGAGCGTGATTGATGAGACCGATTTCCGACAAGCTCTGGTCGATAGGGGCGCGCGTGTCGTAGAGCGAGGGAGCCTGTAGGATGATGCCACACGTGCCCGCCACACACGCTACGAAGAACACCCACAGGAACAAGCGGTCCAGCACCATCGCCACGTACTTCCAGTCCTGCACCACCTACCGTGTTACACGCAACAGTTAGTGGAAACTTGATTAATACGTTTATAGTGATATAACTTATTTAATAAAGGATTTAATAAACGTACATGTGAACTTGTAAATGACCTGTGTCTACTTCTAGTCCTGCACCACCTACCGTATTGCACGCAAGAGTTAGTGGACACGTAGGTAACACGTTTACGGTGATATAACTTATTTAATAAATGAACATGTGAACTTGAAAATGACCTGTGCTGTCTACTTCCAGTCCTGCACCACCTACCGTGTTACACGCAAGAGTTAGTGGAAACTTAATTAACACGTTTATAGTGATATAATTTATTTAATAAAGGATTTAATAAATGTAAATGTGAACTTGTGAATGACCAGTCCTGCACCACCTACCATGTTACACATAAGAGGTTAGTTGTAGCACAGTGAATATGTTTATTGTTTACCGTATTGTAACATAATAAATAGTGAATTAAATTAATGTACTTGTAAACCTGAAGCTGACAGGTATTGTCTACTTCCAATCTTGCGTCACCTACATAGAAACGTGTGTTATACTTAAGAGGTTAGTGGTAACGCAATAAAATATTTTTGGTATTAACCTAATAAATATTGACGTCATATAATGACCATGGCATGACGAACAACCTTCCTGATGACATCGTTGAAGCTCCGAGTATGGATGCGTTCAAGAACTGTCTAGAGTATATGGTCACTAGACAAAGCTATGCAGTTAACAAAGTTAACAACCGAATGGTCTTGTTCCTAATGCTCAATTTTAAAAATTTTGAGTTGTAATGCTTGTACTGAACCTCAACTTGAAAGTGAAACATACAGTGCAATGAGTATAAAATAAAATGAATAAGCAACGTTGTCTATTTTTGTTTATGACAAATTAAAATTAGTATTCAAGTCAATGAATTATCATGTATCTACTTTTATATTCAGTACCGATAGAAATCGATACGATTCACTTATTTTAACCCTGTATGCTTATAATATACCAATACATATAATGTTTCATTATATTATGAGTAATGTGTAATATGAGTTAAAAACATTAAAAAACGAGATGAATCGGACACAGTAAATAAAATTCACACATAATTGAGTACAAAATACCACAACAAGAGGTTAAATAGAATCAAGGAAACGAGGTACAGTTAAATTAATGGACTATATATGAAGTGGGGATTTGCATGTAATTCTGAATGAGTACAATTCTACAATTTTTATCGAAAGAACTTAGAAATGAATAGTCTCATTTGCTGACTTAAGTCCAAACATGAAGAAATTTATTGCGAAATTATTTCAAGTTTTTACCCTTGATACTTCCGGGATCTTAGAATTTACTTGACATTGTTGGATTAAGTATTAATTAAGTAATAATTACTTATAATAATTACTTATTATTAATAATTAAGCAATAAAGAAGCCTCATCTTAGACTTCAAATACAGTATCTTAGTCCAAATTAAAGCATTTTGATATGATCATGTTAGCCGACATTGTCCGAAAAAAAATTAAATTTTAATTTCCACTTCTTAGAAAGTTAATTGAACACATTTATTAAGTTCCTACTTCTCGACTCGTATGATTGAAATTAAATTTACTTTATTTCCTAAGAAAGGATCTGTGAAGGAGGAAATTAATGACAATAGTTTGAATAAAGCAGCTTGCTATAGAGTCATTCCCGATATTATTTATTAAACTGAACAAAACCCTGGAATTGTTCAGTATAACGATTCATTTGATATGTAATTTACGCATTTGTACTAAATTTGACGCTTAGAATGATGGTCTTTAGGTGAAGGTGCTGTTTAATTTGAAAAACTCAATTTCATATTTTTTGATTAGTTTACCGATACAAGAGTTTATTTATAAGTGATGCTGGTTACTTTATCATGAATTTTTTCAATAATGTACATGACCACATTGAAGTTGCCAATGTATTTTTGCTGTCGGTATCGTCAGAGTTGCTGCTCGGAAAAGATAAGACGAACTAATTTTTGTAATGGAAGCATGGACACTAACAAAAATTTGCTTTATGTAATTAAAATATTTTCGTTTCATCGTAAAACATTTTTACTAGCGGAAGTTCACAATATTAGGCGCTTGAAATTTTATTCATAAACTTTTTAAGTTTATTATAAACAATTATGGCTGGAAGTGAGCTGTTACTCGATAAAGGTGAAAAGAACCTTACGTTCATCAACTAGAAAATAAACTGGTCGACCGATGAAATTTGTTATAGTTCAAATAACTGAATAGCGAGGAAAGTCATAGAAAAAGGTAAAATTAATTTGCATCGTAGTAAGAAAAGTGTTTATAGTATCATTGCAATGTTAAATTAAATCCCAACTTTGCGGCTGTCATTTTCATTAAACTGATTAAAATCACATGCTTAAAAATGCAGAAAAAATGATATGCGCAAAAATATTCAAACCTGGCACCGGAATGCATATCTCGATCCATAAAATGCTATTCAGTTAGAGCAGCAAGTTCCTTAGAATCGAAAATAAAAAAGAAGGAGCAGGAAATGAGTAGGTTTTTAAACAAATTTTAACGTTTGATAACACCGAAGTTTGAATTAGAAACATTGTCAAGGCGAAAAATTAGGAGATGATTCTTTTCAAAGTGCACCCGTANTTAAAATGTAAACGAGGAATTTTTCAGACTAGTGTGGATTAAGTTTTTAAAATGTAAACGAGGAATTTGGCAGACTCGTGTGGTTAGATATTCCTTAAATGATGTCCGTTATAAGTCTCTGATTATAAATATTTTTACTGGATTAATTTTTTCAAAAAGGCTCTATACTTTGATGGAGTTGCTTATAGATGCTGAGTAGATACGAAGCGGCGATGCTGAGTAAATAAGTTCTTAGCCACTGTAAATGGCTATTGTAGTATTCAAGTGAAAATAAAAAATTAAAAAGTCATTTTATAGTTTAAAAATTTCGAACGTTAATTATGCGTTTAAAGAGATATTTTGAAGTAAAACTATTCACTTAGAAGCCAAGACAAAGCATGCCAATCGTTCGTAACACGGTAAACGTTTGAAAAATATTTTATTGAACGAAGTCCTGAAATAAAATAACCTAAATAACCTGAAATAAGCGCATCTGAAATCGTACAGTTCGAGGCGATTAAGGTTAACCGGACCAAACTTCGCGGAAAAGTCCATGCGAATAATATAGCTGTAATTTGTTCATATATAGAAATCTTCATCTATCACTGCCTTGAATTTATAATTTTTATTGGCTTCGGCGAAATTTGGTCAGAGCGAGCCAGTCAAAATACCTCACAAAATTTGATAAACATGGTGCACAAGGACCCACCAAAACATGACACGATAAGTCAAAAATTAAGTATTCCAAATATGTTCCTGTTTTTAGGAGGTGCATGCACCCATTGGAACAGGTTAGAGTACTGCAAGCTCTCGAGCAACATTTTACAACACCGAGAAAAGTTATATTTTGTGAATAGCGTGATAGGTAACAGTACAGCTCGGTTCCACAAGAGGTTTCTTAAAGACGGACAATTCTCATGTTATTTATTATAGGTTGTGCGTATCTATAGAGGATAAATGCAATACTCACGACCGGTATGAAAATTAAAGATTGCACATTACGAACTGCTGACACTTCCAGATGAAAGGCGTTGCTTTGCGTTAAGAGCTTCCGAGATGCTGTCTTTGTATTGATAAATTGTTTTTGAAAGACTCGAGTTCATTGTTTAACGAGTGTGGTTCTAAAGGTTGTGAGAGGATTTATTGAACTAAACACTATCGAGTGGAATAGTGGCTCAAGTGTAGGCATATAGTTACTGGCTCAAGAAGAACAAATGGATTAGAAGACATTGAATTTGATTATCATAGTAATTACGTGAGTCCCAACTTTTGATTGTCAATTACTTCGTTCAACATTCTTTGAGCATTAAATAGCTATGAACGACCTAGTTTTGAGCAATGCCAGGGGCTGAAGAAACATGTATGTGTTGTAAGAGAAAATAGAATTTGTGTGGAAAGATTGCAGTGCGTCGACGACTAGCTACTAGGCCTAGCTGATATCGTTTAACTTTTAATCATTGTAAATTTAAAGATGAATGAATGCAATCTTTTATTATATTTTTCCTTAGATATTTTAATGTCCTGAATAGAATAAAACATTGAAGCCAACGAAGAATTCAAGCCTATTCATTTCATGACTAATCGGATTGAGCTGATGACTATTGAATCAGCAATCATTATTGAAAACCCCAATATCAATTTCCGAAAAGAAAGCAGACTAATGTGAATGGTTTCAAAATAAATAGATGAGGAAAGAAAGGTTCTGTAAGGTTTGATAGGTAAATGACGAAGGTATATGAGAAGGATATTATGTATGGATGTGGTGCTGCTGGAGAATGATTTGTGATAACTGTTCATCGATAGGAACTCGAGTGTCGTAGAGAGAAGGGCTCATGAGAAATATAATGAGGCCGAACATATTGAGAAGGAGGAACACATAGAGGAATAGTCGGTCTATGACCATCGCAACGAATTTCCACTCTTCACACTCCTGAAATAATAAAAAAATATTATGTGATATAATAGCTTCTTATAGACCCCTCAGAGATCTATTTTTTTAAAGAGATCACTACAAATTTTCAAAAGCTAAACAGAATGTCTCTCTTACCAGTGTTTACATGCAATTTCCTCCAAACGCTTAATTTTTCCATGGACAGCAAAATTGTTTTTTACATTTTAGTTTTCCAATAGTTTCTCGAAGATAAACCTTCGATGGTAATAGAGTGGTGTGCCCTGATACAAATTTTTAATCAATATGACCATGGCAGTAGGGAAAAAATCTTAAAAACTTTTTTAACAATGGTATATTATCGACGTAGGTAAGATAATTTGGCAACATGATTCCATACAGTGGCCTCATGTGGCATGATCATTTCTGGGACCACGTTCGGATGTCAATAAGTATTGTTGAGTGAAGACAATGAAAGCAAAATGTCCCAACTCTCGCATTAGTACTATATTTATGTCGAATATTTGGCCGGTCATAATTTTATAATGATATTTTTACTAAAATTGTGCTTGCGTCATTTTATTGTGAATAGAGACACTTTTCTTATAAACTTTTCTTATAACTGTAAACTGAAATGTCTGTTTACCATTCGAGAAACATTGAAAACCCGATGTAATAAATAATTTTGCTACACATGTAGTAGTTTTGTGAGTAAATGTTATGCGGATTATAGAAGTAACCGCGAAATCATAATCACCAAAAAGTAAGCTAAAAATCAAATAGAAGAATGAAGGAGTCAAATTTTATATTAAGGCATCAAATAAACAATGCAGAAGGATTGATTTATAACTCAACTGATACTAATGCATTAATTATGAATAGATTTAGTAATGAATTAATTCTTACTTCGTCATCGCGGTCGGCATCTTTGATGTGCTGTGCAATGAACTGCACTCCCTCGATGGCTTTTTGGACTTCTGGGGAGTAGTTCTTTTGGCCGTGGAAGTGACATCCACCCATCTCTGTTGAATAATGAAGAAAATTACATTACTGGGAAAATTGTTGTCATTATTTAAAAATTAGTTAGAAAACACTTAAGTTTGAATTCAATCGGAAATGCTCCTCTCAGTAATCGGGCCAGGAAAAACATAATTCACTCAATGGAATAGTAGATCGTAGTTACAATTTAAAAAAGTAGCGGTTTCGGCACTTATTAGGCCGTAGGCCTGTCGCCGATTCTTAACATCACAGAGCATTCACAGCATTTTGCGGTCTCGAACACGCAGCTCACTGCTACAATAATATTCTGCTTTGCTTAACCGCCCGGCCTCCTTGCCGATTCTGACCAGAAACTGGCGCACAGACCTGGGATCGAACCCGCGCCTCTCTGCTCCAATCATGGTACTCTGAACTTTAACCACTGTTACTACTAGTAACTACTTTAACCACGCACCTAGAAAAACTACGATGAAATTTATAAATCTTCAATGAAATAGAAGTAATTTCATAAATTTCAGACTTGTCTTACCGCATTTACTATCAAGGAAGTCGTCTCCGAACTTCATGCCGATTTCGTGGTCGCCCGCGCTGAAGTCACCGATGCTGTCACGGAGGTCGTCACTATGGGTCGAGCAAGTTGCCAATTTTAAAACCTATTCAAGTTAATTCTCGTATATCTATAGACCAACAAAAGTTGTGAAATTCAGTTAGTCTCAAGGTTTGGGTAGGTTCAATTTGACTTTATTTATTTTTTAAGACTGAATCAGGCAATTAGAGCGTTAACTTTACATTAAGGGGTTATAATGTGGCGCTGAGGTTGCCCTCGTCAGCGTCGTTGTGCGGACGCTTCATGAGCAGCAGACTCGGCATGATGTGGATGAAGATGCGCTTCACCCACGGCGACATCTTGTGTGTGGAGGGAGACCTGTGGCAACATGGGTAGATAATTACAAGAGGCGATCAAATTATTCTAGGAGGCAGCCAACTAATTCCAAGAGCCAGTCAATAATTCCATGAGCCAATCGAATAATTATATGAGCCAATCAAATAATTCTATGAGCCAATCAAATAATTCCAAGAGCCAATCAAATAATTCCAAGAGCCAATCAAATAATTCCAAGAGCCAATTATCACGTTCTCTACTTTAATTGCTTACTTAGCGCTGACGGGAAATGCAAGTTAATAATACACGAAAACATCCCCATAGATAAATAAATACTTAAGTGCATTCAAACAACGCGAAAAAATCATTACCGTTAAATATAATACCAATACCGCATGTTAACAATTTTTCTGCGTGCGAAGGATGAGTTCCGGGGATTTCCCCTTTGAAAACTCAGGATCATTTCAAGTTCCCTGATTAAACTAGTAATCATCCATTCCATAAAAATCTTAGAGAGTGCGCTTGATAAAAAATTCATTCGAAATAAATTGAACACAAAAACCTACAAATTATATTTGTGTTTCGATGAATCATTATTTTGAAAGCTCCGTGATAACATATGCAGTGGGCATTAACCTGAAGTGGATGTTGAGAACCCCGACGGTGACGCAGATTGAGAGCGTGACGAGGATCATGGTGAAGAGGAGGTACTTGCCGAGTAGCGGCACCGCCAGAGACGTGGGAGGGATGATCTCGGCGAGTAGCAGGAAGAACACAGTCAGTGAGAGCAGGATAGAGATGCAGAGAGCCACCTGGACACAAGGCACAGTCAGTGAGAGCAGGATAGAGATGCAGAGAGCCACCTGGACACAAAACACAGTCAGTGAGAGCAGGATAGAGATGCAGAGAGCCACACGAACACGAAAAAGAGTCAGCGAAAGCAGAATAAAAGTGAGAGCATGAAATATGTAATATTTGGTCATCTCTGCGTTGCTATCTAATCTTGTAAATATTCGTAACAGTTTTGGGAATAAGAATGCTGGAGATTGAATCACAATTATCGGGATGAAATACTAAATAAACTCATTTGTAAAGGACCTTCTCGCCGGAGTCTGATGGCAAGTAGAACACCAGCACCGTCAGGAAGGAGATGCCCACGCATGGGATGATCAGGTTAACCGTGTAGAAAAGCGTTTTTCGTCTCATTGTCAGGTAAAACGTTATGTCTGCACGAAAAGAATTGCGTTATATTAGCGAAGAATATCGCACAACGATAAAGGAGTTCGTAATATTCATCTTTTACAAGTTATTGTCTCTGGTTGACCTAGTTAAAGTTACGTTGCTTGGAGTGCAAGCTAGGTTTTGATGCTTCTAAATATAAGGAGTCATGAGATTGAATAATTTTAACCTCAGTTAACCCGACTTTTAAATTCAGTATATTAAAGGAATCTACTCTCTCCACAATGCCAGTTTGACTATAAAAAGACGTTTCCAAAACATTATATAAATTTTGTATTTATTGACAGGAACTTTGCTAGTGTGAGGCTGCTAGTTGCTGGAATTTGACAAGCAAGCCTCACAAAGGAATAGCTCTTCGATTCCAGTATTTGTGTATGTTTAACGCAAGCATAACAGGATAAAACTATATTACGGCTGTATTTTCTGAATGTTTGACGCAAGCCTTACCAGGATAAGGATCTTTTGCGGTTGCATTTGTAAATTTTTAACACAAGCCTCGCCAAGGTAAGGCTCCTTTACCGCTGTATTTGCAGATGTTTGGTGCTAGGTTCACCAGGATAAGGATCTTTACGGCTGTATTAGTAAATTTTTAACACAAGCCTCACCCGGATAAGGATCTTTACGGCTGTATTTATGAATACCTAACGGTAGGTTCACCCGGATAAGGCTCTTTCCGGCTGTATTTATGAATACCTATTGGTAGGTTCACCAGGATAAGGCTCTTTACGGCTGTATTTATGAATACTTAATGGTAGGCTCACCAGGATAAGGCTCTTTACTGCTGTATTTATGAATACCTAACGGTAGGCTCACCAGGATAAGGCTCTTTACGGCTGTATTTATGAATGCCTAACTGTAGGCTCACCCGGATAAGCATCTTTACGGCTGTATTTATGAATACCTAACGGTAGGCTCACCCGGATAAGGCTCTTTACGGCTGTATTTATGAATACCTAACGGTAGGCTCACCCGGATAAGGCTCTTTACGGCTGTATTTATGAATACCTAACGCTAGGCTCACCCGGATAAGGATCTTTACGGTTATATTAGTGAATGTCTAACGGTAGGCTCACCCGGATAAGGCTCTTTACGGCTGTATTTATGAATGTTTAACGATAGGCTCACCAGGATAAGGTTCTTTACGGCTGTATTTATGAATGTTTAACGATAGGCTCACCAGGATAAGGCTCTTTACGGCTGTATTTATGAATGTTTAACGATAGGCTCACCAGGATAAGGCTCTTTACGGCTGTATTTATGAATGTTTAACGATAGGCTCACCAGGATAAGGCTCTTTACGGATGTATTTATGAATGTTCAACGATAGGCTCACCAGGATAAGGCTCTTTACGGCTGTATTTATGAATGTCTAACGGGAGTATTTATGAATACTTAACGGCAGGCTCACCCGGATAAGGTTCCTCGACGCCCGGGAAGTACTCTTGGTTTCGCTCGGCTGGCACCTCTAAGATGTCCCACTCAACTGACATGTAGAACTCTTTTAGGTCAATGCCGACGCGCACAGTGTTGCTGCCGCTCTTTTGGTCCATGTGTTTCAAATCCACCTGATGGTAAAATTAATCATTATTATGTTTACGTTTATATTAAATTTATTAGTTTCAAAACTTTCAAAAGTTACTAAATAATATTTAAATGATACTGATGTATATATCTGGATAATGATGATATTTCATCGAGAGATTGAAACTTGTATTCATTGAAAAATTGATTCGGTACACCTACTCCTATGTTTTCAAATGCTTATTCTAGTTAACACTTTGATTAGCCCAATATTTCACAATTCAATTACTGTCCAGTAGGTTGCTGAATCTAACACGTTCGATATTGGTTTTCATGATAGTAATAAAAATTCAAATGTAGAAATCATTAAATGCCTAAAAATAATAACAAATTGAACGCTTGCTCACCATGTACCCATCGTAAGTCCAGGAGCCGAACTTCATGATGCAGGATTGTTCGTCGAAAGGAAAATACTCGACGTCGATCTTACATGAGGACTTGTATATGGCGGGAGGCTTCCAGTTCACTTCGCCCGTATACTTGAGGGTGGCTTTAGTCATCAGGGTGACTTCGTAGTTACCGTCGGCGCTAGTGGAAATTGTGATCATTATTGTAATAATAATTGTGATGATTATCGTATCGTGATGGTCATTGTGATCATTATTGTAATAATAATTGTGATTATTATCGTGATAGTCATAGTGAAATAGTGATAATTATTGCCATATGGGTAAACTTCGTAGTTACCGTCGGCGCTGGAGGAAATTGTGATCATTATTGTAATAATAATTGTGATGATAACTGTGAAAATTATCGTGATAGTCATTGCAAAATAGTGATAATTACTTCGTAGTTACCGTCGGCGCTTGTGGAAATTGTGATGAAAATTAATTGTAACAACAATTGTAATAATATTTATGGTAAAGATTTTGATAATAATTTTGATATTCATCGTGAAAATTTTTGCGGAATTGTGATAATAAATGTAATCTGAGTAGCTACACAGTTACCGTCGGCACTTATAGAAATTGTGATGAAAATTTAAAAATAATTGTGACGATAATAATATTTGTGATTGTAATAATAATCGTGGTAATTATTTTGATGTACTGTACTGTACTGTACCGACTGTAACTTCATAGTTACAGTCGGCGCTAGTCGAAGCCAAATTTAATTAAGTATAATGTAGGGAAATTGAATTTGAATTAAAAATCAACACGAGTAGAACCATGTAAATTCCAGTAAGCCGATAAAAAAGAATGAACATATATATGTACATAAAATCACATTATTTGCATGTATAAATTTAATGAAACTCAACAAAACAAAATTTTTTCTGTGTGTAAATTTAAGTTCTTAATTTTTGAAGCTTCTAAAAATCTAAAATTAATCAGAATGAAATGTAACGCGATATGAGATGTCACGGCTGCAAATTTAACGCAATGCTCATAACGAACGCACTTGTTGTACACCAAGAATTTAAAAGCAAAGAAGTCAATTGAAGAAATGGTGAATTTTATGTGCGTTTTGTTTGTTTTTAATTTTAAATTGTGATTTAAGCAGACAAATGCTATAATTACTTGTTGTATAGCACTATGTCGGGCAGCCAGATGTGCTCAGACGGTACGTATAACATTTCCACTCCTCCGTATTCCTCGGGATCCCATCGTAGTTTATAGTCATGCCATTTCTGCACAAAAATTACACGTTTTCCTTTGCTCAAGCGCATGTATAAATATTGTCACGAATTACAAGTTTAAGTGGCGGTAAGGACTCGAAGACTTGGAGATAATGAACATTTTATTTTGATGTACGTAGAAAATTATCTCATTCTAATGCCTTAAGTTGAACAAAAATTGAATCCTAAGCATGAATAGATACTAGGGATGTAGCTTATTGAGTGCACCCTGGAGAATAAAATATGACCTATTATTATTCCGTATGCTACGAATTATAGGAAAAAATCTTATAGGAAGTCAGCAAATTTTAATTCAGTAGAACTCTCACCTGTACCACCCACACGTTAGATGTCATTATCTGGTTCTTGAGATTCTGAAAATGACAGTAAAGGACGTTAAAAAACAACACCAAGACTACTAATAATTTTTTAAATAACGGCGTATGAAAAGAAAACTAATTAAATTATTATAATAATTATTTAAATATCTGGCGTATTGAGATAAAATTTGATATTTCCTTTAGAAAATGTATGAATGCGGTAAAAACCGCTGCATATTTACTGATTCGAAAATTTTATATATATATTTCACAAAAAAAGTTTTATATTTTTACTCTTTGTAATGCCGTACTGTACACATTATACTGTTGAGATAATAGATAATGACGTCACACAATCGTGAATCACAAGTTAAGAATGCACGACTTCAACGTCGACTTTCTGATATTCATTCTTCTTGATTTTCGGCCTTGCCCGAGTTAGTCTGAAACTTACCACTCCTATGAGCTGAGAGACCTTAAGATTAAAACGGTTAGAATATCCGTTGAAACTCACCACGCCTATGAGCTGGGAGAGCTTTAGTCCGAGTCGAACGGTTAGAATATCCGTTGTACTCACCACGCCTATGAGCTGGGAGAGCTTTAGTCCAAGTCGAACGGTTAGAATATCCGTGTTATTCGCCACTGGCCGGATGAGGCGGTTGTAGTTACTAAGTAAGTCATCGTAGAGTCGCTTGGCGTCAGGATTTCCCTCCGATTTGTGGCACAAAACTGAAATTAAAAGAGGCACTGGGAGACTTTTTGCATCGCTTCAAACCCGAGCAATAAAATTCCCAAATGAAATAATAAAATAAATGATGAAATTAAAATAACCTGAAAACTGCAATTTTTAAATTAAATAATATTTTTAATGAGCTGTGTAAAGTTAGAGAGATACTTGACTGATTTTTTTTTTCTCAGTTCATTAATTTGTTGTCATGCATAACGCTTGTGTGGTCTGGCCGGCCCAGCGAAGTCTACGGATTTCGAATAAACATTTAGATTAAATTTAATAGAATATGGAGAGATTTCAAGATCTTATAAAGTGTAATATATATAGTTATTTACGTACTGTCATTTACCCGATGAAGTAAAATAATAAATAATCAGATGAGTAAAATTATTTTTTATAAGCAGCAGGTAAATTTAGATAAACATTTGAACAGCTCATTAATAAAATGAAATAATGTACAAGTTTTATTGCAAGCTTTCACAGACGCTAAAATGTTTCATTGTTAGTGTATATAAATTAAATAGCGACATTAAAGGTAACTAATAATAAATTTACGCACGAATACCAGGGAAATTTAAGTGTATTTAAATTTTTTTTATAAGTTAATATTTATTTCATAACTTATTAAAATACTTACATATGAGTCCAAGAAATACTGCCACACACACTCTCAGACTAAATTGCGAACACTTCATCATAATTTCGATTATTAATTTATTTTCTTTAATTCTGAATCCACAAGTTCAAGAATCTCGCGTCGTAGCAGCAGCCAGTAGATCTCGGGTCCATACGCTCATATATTTCTCTTATGTTATGTACTGGTCGAAAAAAACTTTATTTTTTGACGGATCTTTGTGAAACTTCGGACACATATGACACATATGTCGCTTATCATTGTTTGGATACGTTTTTTTTTCAGGGGAGCATCTGGGTCTAAAAAACTTTGTTTTTTATTTTTTGACGGATCTTTGTGAAACTTCAGAGAAATATGTAAAAAAACTAAAGAAGGAAATTCTGCTATTGTGAATGTTATAAAAAAGGAAAGAAGACGTGAAATACATAGAAAACGGCAAAAAGAGGGTTTCTTTATAAATCTTTATAATTTCCATCTTCCATTAACTTGCTACAACATCGAAAGATACATCTTTCGATTTGTAAAGAGAATATCTATTGACTCTAGATACCTTTTTGTCGAATTTTTATTTTATGTTTTTATACGACTGTTTCCATTTGTCTTACATTTATCCCCCCTCCCTCCTAGTTTTTTCAATATATGATCCAAACCATGTAGAGATCAGAAAGAAAACATCTAGAATCGCTAGAAATGATTTTTACAAATCGAATGCTATATATGTCTTTCAATGCCGTTGCTTGAAAGTCATAAATTATGAGGAGGAGGAAATAAATGTTTAGGATGGAGTATTTGGAAAATTTTAATTGTTCATGGGAACCAATTCAGTACAATTGATAGAAAGAAGAATAAAATGCTAATGGCAGGGTGGCCCAGTGGTTAAAGTTCAGAGTACCAAGATTGGCTCAGAGAGGCGCGGGTTCGATCCCAGCTCTGTGCGCCAGTTTCTGGTCAGAATCGGCAAGGAGGCCGGGCGGTTAAGCACAGCAGAATTGTAGCAGTGCGTTGCGAGTTCGAAACCTCAAAATACTGTGAATGTTCTGCGATGTTAAGAATCGGCGACAGGCCTACGGCCTAATAAACGCTGAAACCGCTATTATTATTATTATTATTAACAAATTTCTTGATACTGTAGCCCCAACTTTCCCATCGACAATCACTCATATTGAGGATACCATCACTCGCCTTTACAATTTTTGTCTATTTTACCCGACCAATAAGCTATATGTGTGATTTTTCTAAAATATTTATAGATACAAAATGGCCATTTTATAGAAGTTCAAAAAGGCCTTACGGAAAAAAAATATTGCATGAAAATCCATATTATTTACTTTGTAGAATGCTTCTCTTTTGCAGCTCCAAAATGAGTCCACCAACACACCGCAATTAACGCAAATAATGTTCTATAAATTCCAATTTTCAAAGTAGTCGATGTACAATTTGTTGAAAAATGTTCATTTCATATAAATTTGGAACTACCTCACGCAAAAACTGAAGTACAAACATACATACGGTTTGCTGCATTAGGCGCGCCATTTATGCAGCTACAAAAAAGGTCAAAATCAGCTTAATTCACGCAAATAATAATTTATGAATAAATTTTTTCCCAAATAAACCCTTGTAAATATTGGTAAAAATGTTCATTTATTTATAATTTTGTAACTGTTTTACGCAAAAACTAGAGCACGCACATACGTGCGGTTTGTTGCGTTAGACGTGCCTTCTCTGCAGCTACAAAATGAGCACCAAAGGGCCAAACTATTCGATTTTTTGACTCAGACGCTTCTTATCAATGACGTTTACCTTAAAGGATTTTTTATGAATAAATGATGAATTCTTGTACCGTTTTCTTTGCCTTTAGATTCTTTCTATGCAATGTTAGATGGCTTGATGAGCATTTTAAAGATTTTCAGGGAGTCTTTAACATTGCTGAAAGGATGCCAGGTGACGCCGCCGTATGCCTGAGGTACCACTCGGTTTCTTGGTAGTCTGTAGGCGCCTGTACCTAGTGCGTGGTAGCACTGCTTGTACCACCAGCCTCCCCCACCACCGAGCTGAGACGCACAGTTGTTTTCTGCAACAAGAAAACAATGCAACAAGCAGAGAAATAAGTGATGTTTTGTTCCAATAACGATCAGAGAAATCCGAGAAATCCTTGGCAGAGATCGGGCTGGGAGGTTCTTCTGCTACAACAAGTTTTGAAAACCAATTTTACAAAAATTATGAGACATGGTCAAATTTTTTCCTGGATGGGTCATCGTGAAGCAGTTTGACCCAAAAAATGAGTATCAGTGTTACTGCAGAAAATGTGTCACTATTTGATCAATATGACCATTTCATTTTTAGAAATTATGATAATAATGACATTTGTAAAAGGTTTACCATTAATCTCGGTGATCCTAATCACCCGGCAACCAGAGTTCATTATCTTAGTGATGGTTGATAACTTTTAAAGACCTGATAAATGCAAATTCCTAATAAATTGAACGCGAATAAGACTAACGTTTTTCGGTATCCTTGTCAGAGTCAATGGTGGAGAAGAAAGCGTTGTTGTGGTCAGAGAGAGCGTCTCCAGCTGTGCTGCTGGGCTCATAGCCTCCAATTGAGAGCTTGTAGCTCTCACTTGCACTTCCAACCCTGGTGATTCATTGAGTAGAAAATTAATAGCATACCATAGCGGTTTCAGGGTTCATTAGGCCGTAGGCCTAATTCTTCGATTCAGCGTTCGATTCTTAACATGGCAGAACATTCACAGCTTGTTGCGGTCTCGAACTCACAACTCACTGCTCCAAATTCTGCTGTGCTTAACCGCCCGGCCTCCTCGCTGATTCTGACCAGAAACTGGCGCATAGAGCTGGGATCGAACCCGCGCCTCTCTGCGCCAATCTTGGTACTCTGAACTTTAAACACTGGGCCACTGTGGTCTAAAAAGTCTAAATACTGGGTCTGGGCCACTGGTCTAAGAAGCCTAAATACTAAAAGTTGTTCTGAGACACGAAAAGTATTTATAATCTATAATTTGAGAGATTGCATAGATAATTTAAAATTTAATCATAGAATTAAATGAATAATTCTAATGATGACGACCCTGTCGAGGTGTTACCTGAAGGAAGCATAGCGAGCAAATGCCGCCTTTGAGCTGAAGTCCGTGAGTTCGACACGTAGCTGGTGGGGCCTCGAATTGGTGAGAGCGTGAAGCGTCTCCAGACCTAAAATAAAATCATTAGGGTTATCCCTGAGATGAAATTATGAATTACACTCACATGCATGCATTTGATTGAAGATTATTTATTGAGATGCGGCATTGAGAAGTTCCAACAAGCCGGTTGACAGAAATTTGGCCCATGTGTGATCTAAGTTGCATCAAATAAATAAATAGACAGCTAGGAAGCTGAATATACCAAACGTTGTCAGAACACGTCCAAGATGTGTATAAAACCTACGCATCCACTAGTATATTGATTTGACCATACAATTTTATTATAAATCCATTTCTTTCCGCTGGTTCCAAATGGAACCGCTCGGCATTAATGGGTTAATACTCATCACCTGCCATGTATTTCTACTGGGAGCCTTTTTTTCTAGCAACTAATTCTCAATAAAATATGGTTCCCCTAGGTTCCCCTGGAAATAACTGGTAGTAGGTATATAAGTGTTTATGTTGCCAAATAAATTTCATTTAATTGTATACCTATATGGGAATGATTAAGCAAAGGCTGATTTCAAGCAAGTACTTACCAATCATTTGAGATGATCTATTAACTATGTTTCTTTCATTCAACCTCCCATAATTTTTTGCTTATGGCCACTTCCTGAGAAAATCAATAACAATGACTTATTTATTTAGGCCTACTTATTTATTTAGAAGTCCAGCATAAATATTTGTGTATAAATAGTAATAAATAGATAATATTGATGAATTTCAGTTTTATGTATTAATATCTATCTTATTATCGACTTGCAATCTAAAAACTCACCTTCTCAACCGCATCAAGGATTTCATTAATTTTGACATCCAGTGAACGAACAGATGCAGGTTCCTGAAAACGACAGGTCGATGTAAGAAATGGAAGCCATGTCCGTCGGTCTGTATGTCTGTCCGTCCGTGACCTCTAGTTTTCGTCGACAAGAAAATGCGCTCTCTGTCACTCACTGCAGTGAGTACTGAGTTACATTTTTTCACACCTGAACCCGGCTATGCAACGAATCATCACAAATTATTTTCATTAGGGATTATCAATAATTTTTACATAAGCTGGTATTTTCATGTTACTTTCAAGGCCAGTAAGCGCAGAAAAATAAGAAATTTATTATATAAATTAGAAATGGGAAACTGGATATTATTTTTGATTTTAAATGGTTGGTGTTTTTAGATCGAACATTGATAAAAGTTTTTTAGATCGAACATTGATTTTAGCGGTAATGTTATTGTATGCTATCGTAAATAATCGTATCGTATTGTATGTTATCGTAAATTGTATGTTATTGTATCGTAAGTTATCGCGTATGTCATCGTAAATTGTATGTTATTGTATTGTATGTTATCGCGTATGTTATCGTAAATATTGTGTGTTATCGTAAATAATATAAAGTCAGAGGTTTTTTTCTAACCTGGCTACTAGTCACAAGGCCGGCCAGGGGATCAGAGCTGGGCCTGGTGCTGCGAATGCGTCCCGGGACTGTCACTGTGGCGGTCTGCAGTGAAGCTCTGCTCACCGATGCCGCGACTGTCAAGAGGTACACCAACACAGCCTTCATCCTGCTAAGTCTGCTGCTTAACTGTTTGATCAGCCCCGTGAACCATGGTTTTATGTGTCGGGTAACGATAAATAAAACTTTATGGGGCCTATTTTTGCTTACAATTTTGCAACAACTTAACAGAATGATATCGTGCGAGGACCATTGCTCAATTGTTTGCTAAGTCTCTTGAACCATAATTTTTTTTGCAACAACTTAATAGTACGATATCGTGCGAGGACCATTGCTTAATTGTTTGTTAAGTCTCTTGAACCATAATTTTATAATTGACGTATTCTGATAAATAAGGCTTTATAGGACTTATTTTTGCGTAACATCTCACAATAACTCAGCAGGGCGATCGAATATGCTACCCTTAACGTTGACTGATGCGAGTTCGTGAACATAATTAATTTATTTGAGGGTTACGTTTCATTCATTTGAAGGTTCATTTATTCATTCATAGATTTGAGGATTCAGGTTACGAGGTTAACTGAGGACGCAAAATGAATCGTTTCAGAATCTAGTCACTATCTTTACTTCGCGTTAAAACTTACGAACAATTTGGATAGTTTTAGATCGTACAGGGGTGTTTTTTTGTAGTAAAAATCCATATTCATTGCGTCTAAGTGAGTCGCAGGACAACAAGCGGCAAGGACGGTCAAGTTGTGCAGCAGGCTTGACCACAATGACTAGCAATAAAAATAATCACTTTTGATTGAGCGACCATTTTTGTTGCCTGCTTGTAGCTCCTCGGAGAATTCAGGCGCTAGCTACTTGGGTACAGCTAAGCAAACATTATATTCCTTGTTCTATTATATGCAGCCCAAAGGAATGATTTCGTTAGTCTATATTGTTTAAGTTAGCGATGAAGGTGTTATAACCCGAAAGTCAACACTATTTTTTACGAATACGAAATGTTAATTAGCTCAAGCTTTGGTTGAGATATTAAAGATTCGTCTTTTTATTTACATTCAGTCAAAACCAAACCCTGTTGCTAAAACAGTGCTCTGTTTTTAGAATTACAATATTTTATCTTTCGTAAAAATTGACACAAGGATTCGTTACTCTGAATGCGCGAAAAATTACGGTGAAATGAAGTATAGTTCAATTGAGTTTTTTTTTTGCTGTTCACCTTGGTTATACAATTTTATGTACATAATTTCAGTTATTATAGGGGATTAAGAATCTTTCTTACTAAGGAGACCACACTACTCCTTATCGCGTAGATGCCTGTTTGTGTTTCCGACATCCGAATGACCTTGGACATTTACTACGAATGTGGCAGCGAAGGGCGAATCGATCAAGTACAACTCGTGCGCGTCACTTGCTTGAAACTGAATTCCACCCATGGCAAGTTTATCATTAAGAGCCACACAATGACGGTTATGGATAATTTCGGAGAAATGTTTCTATATACGTGAGAACTTAAATTACTGGCTGCTGATGGAATTCGAAATGCTTCTCAGAGAATTTACAAAATTTCCAAATATTTCTGCAAATGAAAATTTAGAGAAGATTTACAGTTTTCTCTCATTCAATTTGATTGATTTGTTCATTGAATGATCTTACTGAAAGTATTTTGAAATATCGGAGTTAAAGTTTATTTCTCCGGAGAAGTGGATGCCAAGTAACTCTCCGTAACGTAGGCCGTGTTTGGGTCTGTCGTGATAATCGTAAATAGCTATCATGAGGCGTGGATTGTCTGTTGACGACAAGAGTTGCCAATGCCGGTGGCAAGAGGAAGAAGGCTCAGAGAAAAATTAAGTTGTGCTCAGACTGGGAGGGAGTGGGAGGTGTGATTTCATCATACCCGAAGTCTTGAAAATTTCAATTCATTTCAAGTTGAAATGAGTTATAAAAAAAGAGTTGCATAGTGCCGTAGTGCGGCATTCGTGACTCGTCAGCAGCAGTTCCCAACTTCCCAGCGCCCAACACGGCAACAGCCAACACTGCACAGTGCATGGAGTAACATGATTTATTTCTCCAATAACGTATCTTTAACTATTCTGGTCAATTTGTCTTAGAATTTAAAGCTCAAAAAATGAATCAATGGCTCAAAATATTTTTAATTGATGCAAAATTTGATGAACATGCAGCTCCAAAAATGTATTTGGGGCTCATATATTTTTCTCACTTGGCCATGCCCATCAGCCTTAGTGAGATCATTCTTATAAAGGGGTGATTTTATCTCAATTAGCCAGCAACTTGCAACATGTTATTATTGATATGTATGACTAATTGACTATGATAGCTAGGGTAAGTAAACGCGGTATATTCCGACATCGTAGGTAATTTCGTCACTTCTCTAGTTTTTCCTTTATATTAAGCTTTGTTTTAGTTCCAGGCGTTCATTGATGCCTGATGGTTGAAATGGTGACGTCATACATTTGCGTGTCGAAATACTGCAAACGCAAAGCACTAGGTCTTGGCCATCTAGTGGGAAAATATTGAGATCCAAAGAGAGACAATGCATGCCACCTGGTGAGATCATCGAAAAATGTGTCAAATTTGACAGTTGACCTTGCTCTACTAAATAGTGAATAACTCATTGGAGTATGTCCTTCAAGCCTTGGTTCCCATTCTAAATAATTAGGCAAAAGCCACCTATTTATCTGATTTCCATTTTCCATGACATTTGTTTTTTTATTTTTATATTATTTCCAACTATAATTTTTGAAAATTCTTTGTGAAACAATCATTTTTATGCAAAATATCAGAAAAAATCTGCCTCGCTGCCTGATATTTTAAATTGGAAAGCCACCTATCATCAAATAACTGGATTGTAATTTTCCTACTGGTTTTTGAAATTTTGTGGCTTCAACAAGACAAATTTTCAATTCATTTGGCAATCTTGCAGTTCAATTGTGCACTTTAGTTAAGAATTAGATAAGAGGTACTTCATCTAGCAGGAGTCTCAGATCCAAAAATGGTGGAAAGGCTCTAGTCACAGACACAACGGTTAATGTTTTTCATGCTAGACTGCTAGTCACATGAATAAGACGAAAACTGCCGGTTCTTGCAGTAGATTTTACTGGCTTTTATGCAGGATTACAATTTTCTTATTTGTTTCTGAAATCTTGTGGTACCAAGGTGACAAATTTTAATACATCTGGAATCTTGCAGTCCAATCATCAACCTTGGTTAACAATTAAATAGGAGGCAATTCATTAAGCCTAAATCTTGGGGTTCCAAAAATGGTTGAAAAGCTCTAGTTGCAGCTCTGATGGTGGGCTAGGTGTTTTACGTGCATAGTCTCAAAGCCCAAAGTTTTTTAGAATCCTCAAGTTCTATTTTGAGTTCTATAAGTAGACTAGCAAAGTATCATGGACACCAGCATTAGCCTACATAAGTCATAGATATTGGTTTAAATCTTGAGTAGATGAGGAAATTAAAAATGAACTGATTCTAAGAAACCTCTGGTTTGCCACCATGTAATTCCATGCTACCTCCTATGACACTCTCCTAATTTCTGTCATAAAAAAGTTAATTGTTGATTTATGCCTATAATACATAAAAACTCCCTGTAAAATAATGCTTTTACTTTGTAATTATTCAAAAATTCTGCCCAGAAATTCAGATTGTTGCCCTCAGGCAGCCTGGTCCCTAGCTCCATAGTGATAATTGACAAATGGGATTTTTGAAAATCCAGTTCATTTCTCTGATCTATTTTAAAATTGTATTCAGTATTTTTATATGATAATGCTGGTATTCATGATATTTCACTGGTCTACTAATAGAACTTGTAAAAGAAAAGTCCAAAAAAGTCTGCAGTCTGCTATGCCATTATTGATTTACTTATTTATTTAGAAGTCCAGCATAAATATTTGTGTATAAATAGTAATAAATAGATAATATTGATGAATTTCAGTTTTATGTATTAATATCTATTTTCTTGAATTAGAGTTGTATGGATACTTTTTAACTTATATAAGTCTAGCTAAAACAGACCAAGGTTGACAGTGATTTGTAAATTCAACAGAATTCTCAAAGTGCTGCAAAGATGCTGGCCTGGCATTGGTAGTTAAATGTCGGGATGAAAACAGAGCCTTATGGGGCTGCCTTGAGCGATGGTGGGTTTAGGTTACTTTAAGAATCACATTCTAAAGAATATATAAATATTTTTGTACTTAAGATTAAATGCATGGAATTTGCACCTACACATTCTGAATATATAAATTTATACTTGGTAAATAATAACTATTCAAGTGAGGCTTGTGAAGTTGTCAAAGCTGTATTTATTTCCTTTATTAAATCCATAATATGTCACTTGCCATTTGATTGCAAGTCTTTAAAATTAATGTTAACTCAGATCTAGGATTTGATTTCAGCATACCACAAATTTAATTTACCTAGCTTTTACACAAGTTACATGTTATGACCTGGTAATAATTCTAGTTGAATCTAGTGTCAAGTTTTAATACCATTTACAATCTGAGAATAAATTTAGAAAACTTTTTCAGGTATTTCGATGAAGATTTCAAGGCCCGATGTACTCAAGAATACTTAGCAGAACGCAGCGAGTTCAGAAGGACAGGCATCAGAAAAAAACCAAAGAATGTCAGAGCAGAACTTAGGGCAGGAGCTGAAGGACCAGACTCTTCAAATTCAGCTGAACATAAGACTTGAGATCTCGGCTCAAATTAGCAAAATGTCTAGCTTTAAAACGTCAATCCTTGTAAATATTGTAGCCGCTTCAATCATCACAGTGATATAAATTTAACTCTTTTTGTTAATTGCTTGTTATGGGCAAGCTCTTCAATTAAATGATTAATTTAAAGCACTAATCCCTGTGATATGGACGCAAAATTTTTAGCTGGGTTCAAAATTATGGAAAATAATTCATACATGTTGAGGAGAAACGTCTGATGAGATTTTCTTGAAAATTTGGCCTTGGGATTTAACTAGCCTGGCTAGGTTTTAGATTCAGCTTCATGGCTTCTTTTGTCGTGAAGAAATAATATGAAGTGGTATAGGTAATTAGCTTGCTTGAATTTTCCCATCAACAACTTCCAACTCACTATCGACGTAAATGATGAAATGGCCATCTCATCGTATTGTTACAATGATAGATGTATTTGATTTCCTTACTATATATTTTTTGGTGTGTCATGATGTTTTTGTAACCAATCCTATTTATTTCCCCGTAAATGAACTTCCGACAAAAATTTAATTAATGAAATTATCGTGTTAAAGATATTGAGAGAGTAACCTCAATAGTTTAACATGGTATTCATATTTCCATTCAATTTATACGCCTAGAATCATATTTAGAGTTTGAATAATGTTTCATAGTTTGCAGTCGAAGATTATCAGCATTCAGTTACATCGCTAGGATTTCTGTTTTAGCGGTACGTCAATAGCCACTCAATGAATAGAATGGTGTAGCTAAATAAACCATCGAACCACTGAAATTTTCTTTCTTTACTTCTACAGTAATTTAGAATGGTAAGAAAACTGGCAACGAAATACCCGGCTTATAACAAAATGCAACTTTGAATTCATGCTGACAGGCGAAAGTTCTCCGCATGCCCTAAGCTTTAAAATAAAGTACTGAAATACATGTTGTACGATCATGTGTTGAGTTGGGAAAAAAGATTGGCCATCAAGCAGTTTCAAAGTTTCGACGATGTTCTGAACTTTGGACGAACGAATTTTAGAGGCTGACTTTATATTCCGGTCCCTCCAATCCGCATTCCGGCGGTTCCTTTGCTGCCTAAAACGCGCCTAGCCGCTCTGCCCGCTCACGGCTCGGGCTCATTGTTGGTCAGTACATTTTTGGGCCTGTTCGTGTGGGGTTGTGCCGCTCTTGCGCTCTTCTGACGTGACTTGATGTGTGCTGAGTATCATATAGGCTCCACTAATCATTTCACCGATGATACATCTTGTTTAGTTTATGATCTATTCCAACTTGATTGTAGAAGTTTGTGGAATTCAATACGATGAACTGAACTTATCCAATATTATAACATCGCACTGTGAATAAATAGACTTGTGTAATATTTTAATTGGTGATTTTACTCGTCCGACCACTATGGCTAATACTTTAATTTTTGCTTTGGTCTGTTTGCCATTATTGACGTCTCACGTCTCGTCGGAAGCTACCGTTGCGTACCATGAAATGGACTTGTCATTTGACCAAAAATCGCGCACAAATGAGGAAGATCAGAGACCGATCGACGCCGTAACATCTGTGAACGACAAGCACCGCGTGTCTGCTAATATGCACGACTTCAGAGCACACGACTTGAAACGATTTGTGCATCTCAGAAATAAAGTCGATCGACTTCAGTTACAACAGAAAACAGACAGGATAAAATTGGAAATCTTGCAAAAGACCGTAGAAAATCTATTGTATTTTAAGAGCAGCCAAATTGAGCCAGTCACAAATGAGAAACAATTGAGTGAAAAATTCGGGAAAAATGTTCCTCACGAAGATGGCTCATTTGAACAGGCTAGATTAGATGAAGAAATACAAGAATTCTCAACGAATCAACGCCAACACCAAAATTTAGTGAAAAATAATCAAGACGATAATCAGTCGCAGATTGAGATGCTGCGGGCAGATGTCGTACAATTGAGGTGAGTGAACGTGCTTGTAGATACAGTTTATCTTCAAGTAATCACCACCATAATGTATTTTTTTGCCATTTTGTGCAGCTTAAAGTTTTCAAAATTACGTCGGAACCACTCAAGCGATCCAATAAGTGTTTGATAGGTATAAAATATTAGATGACCGATTCGAACCTAAACGAAATTCAATATTATAATTTGAATTTGAAAGTTCGAAAATCTGTTGCAATGAAAAATGAAACGTGATTACTACAAGAGCTTGAAATTCTGCATTAATTTACTGTAATAACCAATGTTTACGATTGCGTTCATATTCGATGAACAATTGAACATGTCACTGCTGGCCTGTACAAAGGAGTCGTAGTATGCGCTAGTATCTGCGCGAATGAAGAAAATCATCTGAAAATTCGTTAAGAAATTAGAATTATGCTCTAATATTCGTCCTGCTTCCTCTCTGAGTGTGATATTTTGTCTTGGTAACTATGTGCATGGTGTCGACCTTGGATGAAATTACAAATTTTTTCTATTTTACTAACCAGCAGCACCGTAACCAATGAATGGACTCAGCTCATGTAAAGTCGAACGATCAATCACAATCATGTATCATCCATACTAAAATTAGTTAAGCTCATCGAGGCAATAAACGCGTACGCGCATCACGCGAAAGACGTGGATTGCCCGAGGCGTGTTAGGTTACTGCAGTTGAGCTGCGGGTGAGAGAGCAATTGCCGGCTTTAGAGTACTTCTTTGGAGCGGAATAGCATCGCTATAATCACGGTTGTCCGGTCTAAGCAAGCGTGCTAGACGCTCAAGAAAACGCTAGCTGCACCAACTGCCTGACCTTCACGACCCTCCGTGATCCCCGAGGCGAAGTAGAGCTCTGTTTTAGCTACTGCAGAAGCTGTAATGACTCCGAAACGTGCAGCAATTGTGTTGGATAGCTATTTGCATAATTCCCTGAAAGTTATGAATGCCAACCTCAGTCACTAAATAACCCAAAACTTGTAAATAAGGGGTTAGTTCCGTGATGAGGCTAATTTTACCCAAATTAGAAGGTCCTGAAAGATTTGGTAGGCATTTTGAGAGATTTGCTTCAATTACGAACAATCATAGCTCGTTTGAATAGCACCAACAGCATAGTAAGTACATTTGAAATACTATTGTAGACGTGTTTAGCCCTCTCCTCGTATCATGGATGGTACAATTTTCCGTTCAAATTAAAAAAGTTGCATTCTTTTGGCAATTATCTACTTTTTACTTGAGTCTTGTCGCTTAGTTCTGAACTGAATTTTAGTTAAGTAACATTGATTTGAAATTGAAATGTTCTGTGTCACAGAACAATTCAGTGCCAAACAGAAGGTGCAGCAGAAAAGTAATACCCCTGTAAATTATCTCTGCGTATTCCTGAATTAAATTTAAGTTCAAAATTACGACTGCAATTTATTATTAGTTAGTTTTTCAATTACGTCGAGCTTCGTAAACGTGAGGTCTCGAGATCGAAACGATTACCGAAGTTTCGTTTTGGCTACACCTAACCTAACCTAACCTAGACTTCCTGTCGAAAATGACAATCTAAGCTCGGCAGAAGGTCTCGGGCTGTTTATATACCAAAACCAGCTATTCATATCCATTATGTGCTAACGAACCGATTTCTTTTGCATTATTTTATTTTCAAACTTCATAGGTATTGGAACTTCTGCAAGATAATTATAGGGTATTCAAAAAATGCTGTGAGTAGACTTTATTTTTGCAATGTTGTAAAAATGTATTAGAATGTATTTAAACTGTGATTAACATGTTTTAATATATAGAAAATTCCGTGAAAATGTACTCACGAAATTACCCTCTACATATTCTCTTATTTTGATTAAGGTTTATGCAATAAAATACAACGCTTTATTGAGTGCCATCTTATTACAATTGCTGGAGTGACGTTAGCCGCATGTTGGTTGTCGGTGAAAAAGCTTATCGAAAGATCCGCCTTTTTATCGAGGTGATTGGCGCACTCCGTAAAAAAACTTATCATACATGTTATCAATCTATCAACAACAGAGACCTTTGTCGTGTGTCAAGAGGCAAGGTACAAACTCTCATATATATATAAGCTACAATATTATCTATGTTCTTCATAGTGGTAAGTATAAGCGATAACGAACTCAACTCACATGACAGTTCTATTCATCACCATTTTATGAGTTCACTTCTATATTCCTATTTACCTTATTTCGATTGTTTTTGAACAATGTCAAGATGCGACCACATTTAATTAATGTCTTCATGCGTTCATGTTTCAGAAAAGACCTTGAAGCTTTAACGTGTTGCTCTCATGCAACCAACGATCCACCACACCGTAAACAGCCTACAGCGTCCGAGTTTCCCTCTTCGGCCAAACTTCAGCTCCAGCAGTCAGACTCATCAAGCGCTAGTGCTGCTCTTGCCTACTCGCCATCAGCCGAAGATAACCTACGTAAAGAGATTCTTTGGATCAAGGAAAGTCAGACGCGACTTCAAAACATCCAACAAGATTTGGAGGAGAAGTGCAATGTCACTGTCATCATGCACGACAAACAGGTACGCAAGCTTGCTCAAATCCAACACACGTCGCAAATTTGGAATAAGACATTAATTCTTATCGATGTGAACATATTTTAGCTTCCATATCCTCACGGAAACCAAAAAATGTCTACGTGATTTTAGTTACCGAAAAGATGTATATTCTAACTATCAGGTTACAGCACACAGACAATGCTTTTAACGCATTCTGACTAAAAAGGCATTTCTGTCTCACGTTTTCCTCTGGCATTAAGCAGTCGTGTGAAACGAATATATCCCTTAGCTAACAACTGTTGAATTAATTTCTATATAGCATCTTGAATTTTGTTTTCAGAAACTCGATTCGCGTTTGGTGGGCTTGACTGAAGGTCTAGCCGTGCTGCAAGAAGGCCTGTCTCAGGCAGCTGCTCGGGCCTCTGCCACCGACGCTCATGTCACGTCGCTCTCACAGGACGGCAAAGAGACAACTTCTGCCATTCAGAAGGCGGATGCGAGGATTGCTACCCTCGAGAATGAGGTGAGAAACGCCAAATTTCCTGTATCATCCATGATTTCCTCGTTCAGAGATCAAACACGAGAATTTTGCATCTCGATTTTCTTAGCAGCAGAATCAAAATGTTTCAATATTAAACCTTGGGCTTGAGTCGGTATGAATTTTCGAATGCTATTTGACTAAATAAATAATTAGAACATGTTGACCCGAGTTCTTAAATTTTTTTCGCGACAACTTTTCTACCGAAATAAAATTGCTGTTTTCTCACAGCCAGTTGCACGACGATGAAAAAAATTGACTATTATCGTGCGAGTGATTTATCGTTTAGAATGCCATTACATTCACACGGCATCATTCTGCCTTCAATTTGCGTGTGTCGTGTTGTAAAATCGCTAAAATCTGTTTGATTTGATTCGGATGCGGATTTTACAATTATTGGTCGAGTGTAATAATGTAATGGGTCCTTATTTCACTGCTCAAACGATATCTGTACAGTCTGAAGTAAAGATGAGCATTGTGTTATAAGCTAAAAATAATAATTCACACGCCTTGTTGAGGAACGGTTTCATTGATTATAAAGTGTGTTATGATGCCGAGAACTACAAACAATAATCTGAAAGTAGAACGATTTAAAAATCTGCTGAGCCATGCGGTTCACTAAGGCCTTGTCGTCCCCATGGCATCCCGCCGCTTCTTCAAGGAGGGAAGTTGCTTCGTCATTCTCGCTTCATTAAGTCTGGTATTTTTCTATCTCTATTCTTGCTTTGTTTTTTTGTTTTATTTTTTGTTTTATCTATTGCTTTTTTTACTTTTTTTGGAAGTTGTTCTAGTTCTTGTATCTTGATTGTGGTTGTTTTTGTTTGTGCGTGTTCGGTTTCTTTTTCTTGGTTATGCTTGTTTTTATGTTTATGACCCTTTGAGCTTTTGGTGTGCTTGTGATTTTATATTTCTATGTTTCGCAAGTTGGTGTATGTATTGTGTTTCTTATCGGTGTTTTCAGACATTTGATTATTTTTGTTGTTGTTTGTAGTCTCTGCTTCGTTATCTTGTGTCGTGTTATGTAAATGTGTTGTGGGTGAATGGACAGTCCTCTATTTTTCTTGTTCCCTTTTATGTTTTTTCCGTTTTGCTTGTATGATTCTATGCGGCTATGCCATGCATGGTCATGCAGCAAACTTAATTCAACTGAAAATTAACTCGAATCAAGATCGATTGATTGTCAGATACATTGAAAAAAATACAGTCTTAACGCAAAAAGTATTCGTCATTATTTTTCTGTATTTATTTCTAGTGTAGCCTTGTAGTAAAAGTAATATCCTTATGAAATTCCCTTTGCATGGATACACGTGAAAGCGCTTTATTAGTTCGTACTCGGAAATGTGTAGAAATTAGAACCCTCTAAACATGCTCAATTTAAATGTAAAATATCATCGATGCAAAGTTACTCCAGCCAACTGTTGGCCGCTCAGTTTCAATCGACATTGTGGGTTGCAAACTGACGTGACAGTTAATCTCCTCAGTTGATTGCATGATCAAATGATCAACTATTTTCTCGAGGAGGATAATAATCTCATCTCCTGTCTCGAGTTGGTTTTGCGGATTCTAGGAATTCCGTGTCGTTTTGAAGCCATCTGGGAGACTTCCTGTTACGAGGTCAAAAGTTAAGCGGCGAGAATGGCTTGAAGGCATCCTAAATACTTGTTGATGATTTTAATAAACAAAAAGGTCATTCATGTAACACATTTTTTTAAACGACCTGAAATAAGTGAAAAAATACAAAGTTATTCATAGGCTAAAAAAGCTGTAATCACGGTGATGGCTTAAAAGTCATTTGGTATTGTAGAATAAAGACTACTGCTGACTATATCATCCCATAATGCATTCTCATTTTATCATTGCTTGTCGTACTATAGCAATTCTCAAGGATGACTAGCGACAAAAAGAGCGCATATTCTCCGCACCTAAAAACCGCCAGTTGCTGGCCATGGAACGAAGCATCTGCCTATTATAAAATGCTTATCTGCCTATATTATAATATATATCCTATATCCTGCCTATATTATATCTGCCTATATTATATGCTTATCACAGACGTAGTTTCGCCTCCAAACGCTTTGTGTTGTGCTTGTGGCACCTGCGAGACTTGTAGCTATGGCAAGGCTCCATGCAGCTGTCGCTCGCTAGTAGGTAACACCTGCCGAAAAGGAGGACTGTTTAGCCCGCCACTCCCGCCACAAATCTAGAACAACTTAACGTCCGCTGCAGGAATCTAGATTTTTTTCCTGCCCTTTTAGATTGTATTTATGTTTGTAGTTAATAATGATTGTATTGAATGGTCATCATATCGCATAGAAAAGGAGGACTGTTTACCCCGCCACTCCCGCCACAAATCTAGAAAAACTTAACGTCCGCTGCAGGAATCTAGATTTTTTCCTGCCCTTTTAGATTGTATTTATGTTTGTAGTTAATAATGATTGTATTGAATGGTCATCCTATCGATTGTTGCTGCACGTATGAAAATTCCTTAAATTGGATTCACAATTTTAGCTATTGTGCATTGTATATGCGCTAATTGGGTGATCATTGCGAATAAAACTGTCTAAAAAATCGAATATGGATATCTTACTTAATATTAGTACAATACCGATATTTATGGCCGATGAGGTCTCGGTTGTTCCACAACTTGAGTTGTTTAAAAAATATAAATGAATTTAGATGCGATCGTTGACAAATAATTAAAAATATAACTCAGTACTCACTGCAATGACAGAGAGCGCATTTTCTCGTCGACGAAAACGTGAAATCACGGACGGACGGACGGACATGACGTGCACAATAGTACATTTTTTCCATAAATGTGCAAATGCGCTAAAAAGAGGATACATTTACTTTAGTTACGACTAGAACAATGATTCTTTTTCTTCTTAAGTTGATATCTGATTAAATTATGGACAGTCATAATCCCTGGGCATTGGTCGATAAGTTTACTGCCTATCATTTTCAGAACTGCAGCGATTACTTTTGATTTGCACAAACATAGGCGCAAGACGTATGATAATTGGTTGAAAAATATATGTTTATCAAATACTAACGTAAATCTTCCCCCGTGATGTAGGAGGACGCTCATAAGAAGCACAATTTCACCATTTCCTGAAGTAATGGCGGGCGGTTTAAATTAGCTGCTTCAGTAGTAGTTAGATATACGCATCCGCACAGCGTTGAAACGACCTCATCAGGTATAAAGCTCTGCTACGGTGACAAAGGAATCGGCGAGATTCTAGTATCGCCAGACGCTGCTTGAGAATAAAAATTTGAACGTATCGCGGTGATGTGGGTTGAATTTATTTATTAAAAATTTAACTCAAATTTATAATTATAATTATATAATTACAACCAACTGGCCGCAGCTTTATTGTGTGTGTTTTTCATATATAGATCATGAGTGTACAGTAATTATGGGTGTTTTTGCTGATTGTAGCTAGTTACGCATTTTTCATTCTAATCCAAACTCTGTTTTTTTTGACGATGTTGAATTTGATATATTTTACGTTCTCTTTGATTTCAGTGCGCCGGAAATCTTTCCGCGTGAAATACAATGAAAACCAAAATAAAATTTTTAAACGTCGATTCAGTTTGTTATGTCTCAACATTTCATTTCTTGATAACAAATATGAATCAAGATGTCCTTCATTGTTTTCGTCCCGTCATTCGAAGATTTTAATTAATGTTATGCTACACACCAGTCATCTTATGTTTTTCCAACCAAACTCTGAACGTTTTGCCTTTTACGAGTGTCAGTCGAGACGTCGGGCTTTAGCTCTTGCAATTAAAAATCTGGAGATCACGTGCTATAAGTAGTGCCTGAATAAGTTTGTGCTGGGGGATTTGACCCGGATTATAAAATCTACGCAATGAAATAAATGCATGTTTATTTTTGTGATTGTGTGGCCAACAGTCGAAAATGATCATGCATGGGCATTTTTTCAGTCATTTTTGATCATACGGGAATGTTACCGAAGTCATCGAGTGCCGAATTTCTATCTAAGCCGCGATAATTGTACATGTATTATTGAATTATAAACCCTTCGTTTTGGCAAAGTTTATGAAGGTATTTCAATAACCTCGTAAATTTACGCCATTTATAATTTACTTTCGTAATGCTCAATTTATATCCCTTAAATAGTAGGGTTAAAATCACATAATTAAGTATGGGTTAAGCATAATTAAGAGTGAAATTAAGTGGTCAATCAATAATAACCAAAGATCTAAAGTTTGCAATGTTGCCATCAAAACAGTAAACATAAGGTTTCAAATTTCTGAACTCAAGGTCCCTTGATCTGATATTGAACCAGAGCTCGGGTGTCGTGGATTACGCGTGAGACGCCCCGCACTGCTTCCTGCCCGAGCTCCATAATCATTATGAATTTTATGGCAACTCAAACTGTGAGCTGAGAAAAATTTAAATCTTTAAATGAAGGCTTATTATTTCAAGGATTTTGGTTGTAGAAAATCGTAGTGTAGAGTTTTTGGCCCCATATTTTGAAAGAACCTACCTTTTAAAAAGAAAGAAAAGTCATTTGAAGTTGTGTGTAAATTCATAAGGGACAAAAAATTATTCGCCTATCGTCCGTCCCGCAGTCATTGTATCAATTTAATTGTATTTCATTGTTTGCTGTTTCATGAAGAAATCAAGGAAGAATTTAGAATATCGTTCTCAAATTGAGTGAAATGATCTGTAATGCGTTAGAATCAATTAAGGAGTTATGTTTATTATTCAGTTTATTTATTCAGTTCACGTCGTCACAGTAGTTGGCCAGAAAACTGTAAATAAAATTTAATTTATCAGTATTTTTCTGACAACTATTCCCGATAACTTGCTTCAAGTACCGTTTTGTTGCCTTACACAAGTAGGCTCAAAGTCTTCTGACGCACAATTAAATTTGCGGTTTTCCAACACTCCTTTTCTTGTTCGGTGAAGTAACTTCCTTTGGCGCTGTCGCATCTCCCTCAATTTTGCCTCCTTGTAGCAGAGTTTTGCCTTTACCTTCGAGTTTTTATTTTCTTTAATTGGGGTTTACTATTAGCTTCCCCTAATTTTGCTGGAGACTTCCTGTGCCTCGCTACCTGCTCTGAAGAAACCTTCGTCAACGTCTCCGAGAGGTGCAGGAGTTCTTGGATCTTGGCTCATTACCTTAAATAATGGATTACCCTGCTTCCCGCCGTGGAAATCAGACCTATTTCGTTTCTACTTAATGTTCTTGCAAGCTTCAGGGGCCTTAGCATGCTATTTTATGGGATTCCTGAAGTTAATTATATAAGGTTAATTTTGTAATTGTATATTACGTTCTTTTCTATTCGTGCCCATTCCCGCACTCAAGATAAGCTTTTATAAGTGAGTTGACATAGAAATGAAGCCCCACCTAGGTTCAGTCAATTTCAATCATTCTTTGCGTTTTGAAAGTGATGATTAAATTAGATGAAACAATATATTACCAAATGTAGGCTCTTAAAATTCTCCGTAATAATTCACCCTGAATCAAGCCTGTCATGACATTGATCTCAGTCCACCAATGCAGCTGCAGAGTATACAGTTGCTTGTCTAGACCAGTTTTTACTGTAGTAATGCACGCATATACTCGCAGGCAGTGATAGAAGGTAACATTTTCTTATACTCTGAATATGGAATCAAATTTCTAATGTAGAACACTTCAGTGACCAGTAAGTTTAAGTTGACATGAGGTTGTTATACAGGCAACCGCAACTGTGTTCAAACTTTGTCATTTTAGATTAGATAATTTAGGCTTCTAAATTCGAATATTTGAGAAAAAATGATTAATAAGCAGTTAATCATAATTTCATTTGCTGTTCACTTGAAAAAAAGTTTAATCGATAAATTTATCTCTCGAAAAATATTATTGGCTTTAGACTGGGTTACACCAATTGCCTGACGATAAAGAATATAGACTGGTCAGGTTGTCAGTGTACTGCCTGCAGTAATATACAGTATACGAAAGTTCCACCATTTCAATTTGGTTAACTCAAAACAATCTCTCCGTTAAAGCCGTCTCAAACTCTTGCAGGTTGATGAAGCTGTTTCCACTTAATCTATTGGCAGTGATATAAATGAAAACTTGGTTGTTTAAACCGGATTGTTTTTTAGCACTCTGCTGCTGCCTTGGGTAGAAGAAAAAGCAGGTTATCATGTCTTCTAGTAGTAAACGTAGTAGTAGCATGTCTACAGCGGTGCGTAATAAACGAAGAGTTGATAAATTGAACGGAATCTTATCGGATTTGGCTATAAAAATTGCTCATATCAGCCACGCCAGATGCAAGACTATAGATGCCAAAGATGCGTTTGAAACCCGGCACGCTCTGGCCCTAACACCAACTCCACTTACATGAGTTGCAGTGCTGGTAATAGCATCTAGTGCGGGCTCGCCGCGCAGCTGCTGCGGCACGGGCGGCGGAGGCTGCGGGCATTTTTAACATACGGTCTGCGGCAGATGGCGGGCGCCGGACAGTGGCTACTGACCACTTATCTTCTTCCATGCTTCTGTTGACTCGAGTGTTTTTAGGGCTATAGTTCGATGATGAGCGCGTGGCTTAGAAATATTTTGAAGACTTAGCCTTTACCTTGCTTTGGATAATGTATTATTTATGAATCATACTTTCTATGAAATGAGGAAAATTTTTAGAGTATTTTGCATGTTGCCAAACTTTAATATCTTCAGGACTTTTTATAGTCAAATTTCTTGGCAATCCTTTATAGTAGAATTTTTCTTTCAAATAAATTTATTGCTATTGTGTATTATTCTATTATATAAAAAAGCTTTTGCTCCAACAAAGACTAGTGGCTTGTCGCTGCTACAGCTCAGATTTTTTCCTCCTTCTTAGTGCAGGAGTTTTGATCTCCGTTCTGCCTCATCACTCCAGGTGCTCGTCTGCCGCATCCGATTACAATGTTCAGAAATGTTTCTATTTGATTTGAAACATTTATTGTGTTAATGTTCTAAGTGACATTCTTGATTGACTGAACTTGTTTGAAATACTAATATGTTGATCTTGTTTTGATTTTCGTTGTGATTTCGATTTTGAGGTTGATGCTTTTCTTTTGCTTTTGTCTTTCTCTATTTTTTGGTTTATTTTCTTAAAAAACTTGAGCATTTATTTTTTGAATTTTAATATACTTACAAATAAGCTTGGACGACACGTTAGTGCTAATTTTTCATAAATGAATTTTTACATTTTAGATTTTTGGATAAAATGCACTAAAAGTTTTGCATTGGGTCTCTTGATACGTTTTTTGAATGGTTGATTTTGATATTTTTCGAAAAAATTAAAAGGTAATGCCATTGGTGCTCAAGTACTTTCTGGCGATCCCGTTCACTTACCGCAGTACCACTAATATTACATATTATCATTAAGATATATTAATAGCATTATATTTTACGTTAGTAGGGAACGTGTTTAATTGCTCGCATTTTATCATACAAAATATGGTTAATTAATAATTAAAGAGTATTAAGCAGGTGTTCTATTTGAATTTACTGGAAGGCTGTCAGGCACTGAGTGGTTGACGTGGGATAATATTTCCAGATCGTTGCATGTTGGGCGGTAATAAATTTATGCATGAAGTAAAAATACCATGTATCCCCAAAAATCATTCGTGTCTCGAAAGTGTCCACGCACCTACTACCTAGGAGTACCCTTTGTGGTACGCGTAATACCGGTTGGGAACCACAACATTAATTATTATAAAATAATATCAAATAACATTAACAACGCTAAGAGACGAGCAATTATCATGGAATTAAAGCGGTTGGCTGCCGTGATGCTAATTTTTCACCTTAAGAATACTTCAGATTAAAAAAAAATTTACTTTACAATGGTCGTAAGGTAGCTGTTTCTTCAGCAGACAAATAGCAAACAAAATTCTGTTCGCAAACAACAACAAAGTTAACTGTTTGGTTTTGCTTTAGTTCCTAGTAAATTCTAAAGCGAAGCCAATCGAGAAACAAGTTTATACTGCGTTGCGTAAACTGGCGTACTGCGGTGCGTAAACTGGCGTACTGCGGTGCGTAAATGGGTGTAGCTTGCACTCGCATCCATGCTGAATTCTGAATTTAGGTGGATGAATTTTTGTTGCGTAACGTGATGATTTGCGGTGCATTGGTTTCAAAGTCAGGAATATTGGTATACCTTGAAAAAGACAGATTCGCTGTTTAGAATGATACCCTTGCTTTCTTCTGGGCTGATTTTTCGAAAATTTCGAAAATAATTCATTATACGCTATTTTCATACCGCTGTTTCCTGTCACTGATATTTGTGTTTGGCGTTTGCACATGTCATGTGTCATGCATTCCTTGGGCCCAAATGTCACAGGTGAATGTAATTTTTTCAAGGGTAAAATACTAAAATAAATAATTCCTCGTTGTGTGTAAGTGCCACGGCTATCCCAGAACGGTTGCAGGATGTAAGCTAGCTGACCTGCTGACGCTGTGCATCCTCAGTCTCCTGATGTCATGTTTTTGTCGTATATTCTTTAAGTACTCTTGAACAGCTGCAGACCGCGTACTGCTCAGTAACTGAGCCGGAAGCCTTATAATTAAGTTAGAGCTAAGAACTCTGATATACGGATAAAAACAAACCTATTTTTAATCCTTGCTTAGAGACGGAGGGAGGCACCCTTGTTACTTCACAAGCATGTGAAGCTAGCGCACAACCACACATGCCCTTATATGTCTATATATAAGGGCAAAAAATTAATGTCATCTGAAGAATATTGTTCGACCCTGAAAATTTAAATTGACGAATTCTCTGGCCATTAACCACCCGTGTTGAAACAAGCTTATTCTGCCTTCTGATACTAACTATATATATACGTATTTATTTCAGTCATTTATTATCAAACTGGTTTTTAACTATTATGCAGCTCGCTTCCAATCTGTTCCTGAGAGAGAGAGAAAGTTTTTTTCTGTTTCATATTCTGAGTCTTCCTACATAAGCAGTAAAAAATTGTTGCTTTGTAATTATTCTCTCACCTGCAAGATGTGCTTCAATAATTTATGATCTTTTTAATTTACTTCGCACGCCGATAATCATCCATCACTTACACTCCCGATAAAAATGGCGGTTATGATTGTTGAACATTCGGTGCGTTTTTTGATTGAAATATGTCATCAAATCCGAAAATAAGAGTTAAATAAGGCACAAATCAATTTGACCTGAGAAATCGCTCTCTACAATTCAACGATTGCTAGAACTTATTCTAATCATTTATATTAAGCACCATGCAGACGGCTGATGATTTTTTATCATTTGAAATCGCTCTCCGCAAGTCAGCGATTTCTAGCACTTATTCAAATCATTTTTATTATCACCAGACTGCTGATGATTTTTATCATTTGCGCTCGTGGTTTCTTCCATCGTACTTCATAACTGATTTATTTTTACAGGTTACATCTCTAAGGGAGGATTTTAATGAAGCTCTGTCAGCTCTTCCCGATGGCGCACTAAGTCCCGCATTTTATGCTTCGGTAAGAATCACCATAAATGTTGTGCAATCTGCGAGCCAAATCTTTTTAAATAAATGCACACATTTAAATTCATCGGTTTGCTGGAATAATTTATAGTTGTGTTATGCAAGCGAACTATGTTTTGCATAATACGTTTGGAATAAAGTATAATGTTTTAAAGGAGACTACTGGAAATTTTGTTCGAAGAATCGTTTAATTGTTAGTGTTTGTTGCTAAAACGTAATTTCCGCTATTAAAAAAACTTGTTAAATATTTAAAACCTCGATAAAAAACATGTCATACAATGAAATCGTACATTTTTGTACGCTTTATAATGAACCGATTTTTAGGTCAAACTTATCTAGGAGTAAACATAATTCAATTCATAATTCAATTCATAATTCAAAACATAATTCAAACATAATTCATAAGAAATACGATAGCTTGAGTTCTCAGTGTTTGTGGAACATCAGATTAATCGAAAAAGCATTAAAAAATGTGTCATCGCACTTTGAAAATATTGAACTTTTTTATTTATTTCAGAAATCTAACAATGATTCGAGGCCGGCCCCAGCGCGGTTACTGTATTCTCTCTCCGGTCTCTCGAAGCTGCAACGGTCTTCAGTCGAGCTCCTTGAAGCCGTCGACAACCTTCAGTCCCAGCACGAAGCTTCCCAAATCCAACTGACTCGCGAAATGGCGGACCTCGAGTTCAATGTCAGCCGAGCTCTTGTGGAACATCAAGAAACTTTGAAGCGCGTAAGAGCGAGTGCTGACTCAGAGGCTAACTTAGCGTCAGACTTGAGGAATCTAAGAGACGAGATGCAGAGTTTAAAGCTCAACTTCGATGTGATTTCCGCTAATCAATCGCTTACTTCATCGAACATTGATCGACTTGAAGCAAAATTTGCGCAATTATTCGGAGAGAATGCAGCGTCACATAGAAGTGCTCGTAATGGAAATTTACGGTTACGAAATCTGTCTCACAATTCTGGTACACGTTCCGAGATTGATATTCCAGGATCGATTAACAGAGCTTATGGAACTCGCCATCGGAGACGAAAACTAAAGCGGAAACACGGAGCGTAAGCACTTCAACTCAAAGCCACAACCGCAGATACATAATTTTTTTTTGATACGAAGGTCAATATTTTCTTCTGCAAAACTTCATAATACTCCTGAGAATAATTTATCGTTTTAAATACAAAATCACTTGATTTTTGATCGATTATTTGGTCTTAATTTAGTCTTTTTATATCTTCGTAAACAAAACTTTATTCTCGAACTTCTCCTTTCTGCTTAATTGATTTTTTTAATACATTCAGTGTAAGGATAAGCCTTTAAAAGAGCTGTACAGTTTAGAAGAAACGTTTCTTGTCACCGCAAAGCGTTTACCTGCCGAAAATATTTAGTCGATTTTGTACAAATAGTAACTTTCAAATGACATAGCGTTGATGGGATTGGAGCCATTTTTTAATCCCGAAAATTAGCTTGCGTATGAGTTTGATTTGTGAATAGTTGAGTTACCTGTACATGTGACCTGTGGTGCCTATAGTGCTGAAGTTGGACGTAGATCTCGGTGTTTTTTCTTAACAAATTAAGAATTAGTTTTATGCTTATATTCGTGGTCGATGGTAAATTGTTTATTGTTCCCATACGTTTATCTCTCCAACGAAATTTTTTTGGGGATCGAGAGAATGATCTCAGTTGATTTATTCAGTGAAATTTGATGTATTCAGTATTCTCGGTTACCTCATTGAGGTTTCATTGTTGAATTGTGGGAATTATAATTTGTATATAAATGGATTTTGTCAGTGCTAGCTGAGGATTGTATTATACTCTTCATCCTGTGCTGATCATTACTGAAATTTAATCATATCAATGAAAAACTATACCCTCGCTATACGAAGTTATGATAAATTGGAAATTTTTTTAACTGTTTCTAGCTTCAACCTCTGCATTTCTCTAGCCATAACGCTCACCAAAGACCAGCTCTAGATACCTCTTAAAAATTTGATTCGATTTATTTTAAATGTTTAGAAATAATCCAGGATTTCCTAGTTATTTTAGGAATTGGAAATATTGAACCGAATTGCGCTCTACAACTTTGACCATTTATTTGTTAAGATAGAATTATAAAATAATTAAAAAAATAAATAAGTTTTCAATGGCCAATTATTTAAATGTGGTTCGTGTGTATATTTGATGCTATTTAAAATATCTGTTCTCTCCCTAGTCATTTTTGTTGTAATTAATGTGATTTATTAGACTGATTTTCTCTTTACGGTTCTATTCAATCTAGACGTTCAGAACATATACATTATATTCAGCTTGAAAAGTTTGCGTATTTTAAGAAGCTTGGCTAATATTTTTTCATAGAGTGGCGGTTTATAATGCACTAACATGTGACCAGATTTTTATCAATAAATATTGTGAACTTATTCCATAATTGTCGTTCGTAGTTCATTTTGAAATTTCGGATAAAGCTCTCAGATGATATCTGATTAATTAATTTTGGAAATTGTGTATAACTAAGTTTAGAGTAAACTTAGTTTAGTTTGTGCCAAATTTAGTTTGTTGTACGCTTTTATGTAGGCATTGATGCGTGTATAGCTTGTACTATTTTTTTATTCTAAGTTCTTGTCCACTTGCTTAAAAGTTGCGCATCATGAGAGCTGTCCGATTACACATTTATTTATGCAAATTTGTTGCATAAACTTGCATGAATGAAAAAACTTCTGCCTAACTGTACCATTGTTCAATTATTTGCAACTAATGCCGGAACGCCCAAAGATAGACGAAATTCATTGATGCCAACACATGAATTATATTGCTTGTTCCCATATATATATTTTTGTGATGCTTTTTAATTTTGAATTTCATCTTAAAATTCTGATAATCTGCCAATTCCTTTTATCAAATGTTTTTCTTACAAACGTGAAGAGTTTGAATGTAAGCAAACGCAAAATATAATGCAATGAACACAGTTTAATGTTGCTTGTTTCTCTTTGCTTTAAGACTTTTCAATGCAAAACCCTAAAGCCGATCACTCTTCGGTGTCAGTTCCAGAGCAGGCGAGAAAATGATTACAGTGAATAACAGATACATCGTAACTTGGATTAACTTAACTGTTGAAATAAAATGTGTGCAGCGTGTTTATCTCATTATTCTCCAAATTTGTGTAAAATTACTTTTTTCGATTCAATTTCCGGTCACTTGAACGAATTTGGTCGTATTTGTTTATTCGATTATTACTCGTTTTGTTAGCACTCCATTTTGTACTGCATTAAAAAATTCGATAAATATTTATTTCCGCATTTTTCTCTGTAATATGGCTTGTCAAATGTTCCGATTAAATCTTTGTCGCGGACAAAGGTTAATCAAACGTTGGGAGTTCTTTTATTGTTAAATTCAAAATATCTCTCTTATTATAGCGTTTGTTTTTCTTGATTGGCAGTACTTTACTAAAACTTTCCATAAATTAAATGGAGAACAATAAACCCATTGACTGTCGTTACCTTGGTAGCAGCGGCTCTGAAAGTCTTTTCTATCGAGTATTCGTGAGGCCGGTGAACAATACAGCTGGAAAGCATGACAAATGTGTACAAGCAGTTAAGAGATTATCTCTTGATATGTCAAGTGATAATCTGTAGCAACGCGGGTTCTTCGCTAGTAGAAAGCTATGATTCCCCACGAAGATCGTCCAGGCTTAGGTTTGAGGTCTACGAATCAAGTGCAATCGCCTTCATGTTACTCCACCACTCGACCTCTCGATGAGACTCGGCCTTTCCTGTCGATGTTCGCTGATCCCTTGAGCTATAAAAGAAGACTTGGTGTAAATTCTTACTGTCATTTAACAAAATGCCTAAAATTCATTTAAAGCCATCGCAGTCAAAAAGGTGAAAATTATTTTTTAAACAACCTATCTCATAACTTCTAGAACTTATAA